GCAGAATCATTTTGTATTGGGAGGTAAATTCCTTACTTTTAAGCGCACTTAACTTAAGAGCCACATACTGCTTCATACTAAAGGTCTTGAGACAAAACATAGCAACTCTCCTACAATCAATTTTGATTATGGTTAATTTTGGTTAAGAACTTTTACTAATTTACTTAATAGAAAATCTTATTCGAGTAGTACCAATTCGCATATTTCATTGTACTATTATGATCACTATTTTATTCGCATAAACGTGTAAGCTTGATGACATGACAGCCTACGCACATATCTCTGTCTAGTTAAAATGCTGGTCGCTTAAATATCGCTCGATGAATCATTCTCTTTCCCATGTATATATGTACTTAAATCCTATTGTTAGCCTGTGCCTTGCCTAGCTGCGACTCATTTAATTTAACTTTAAGTTCGCCTCTGTATTTATTCGCACACACACATTCGCCTCTCTGCTTCAAATACGTTCGATACGTTTCTAACTTTGTTATCTGTGCTATCCGCTAACAAATTATAGATGCTGCTTCTCATTACCTTCTGATTTCAGATACCGTTGAGATTTATATAAAATAACGATTATCAAGGTGATTGCTTGATGAAACTAATCCACTACAGACACACCATCAAGTCGATTTGTGAAATAGTATCATCCACATTTATTGTTATTGGTCAGCTCCCGTTTATTACCTGACTTGGTTGAATGTCTTCTAAGAACTTTGGAACATCTATATTGAAACTTTAGTGAAGTTCTTTAATAATAAATGATAAAAATTTAGATAAGATTAGAAATATACACCGTAGAGTAATCTATAACTATTGTCTTTATGGTTTTCAATAGTTCTTTACTTAAAAATCTTTCGTATAGACAAATACCTTGGAAAAAGCCTATTCGATTTTCAAAATACATTACGATCTGATCTGTCAGTCTATCTTTCTGTTTATATGGCACTGAACAACAACCTTGGATACATTTTTATCTATAATGTATAAAATTGATTGGTAAACACTATGAAAATGATGTTTGATTTCGTCAGCTAAAATGATCAATAATATATATATACATACATATATATTAAACAACTAGCTATACTCACTCTCCTTTTCATTAGTTAGATAATCTTTATCAAGAAGACAAAGTTATAAGTAGTTCAGTTTGGTTACTCCCATTTGTTCAGCTGACGTTTCTTAGACTAATATAGAAACCAAAATAAAATTCTTTATTTTGATAAGAAACAATAGAAAACAAAAGTATATTTCCTATTTTAAGGTGTTCTTTTTTTATTTAAGTAATTAATCATTTCATTAGTATGAATACAGTATAGGATTATGTTTTTCTTGTAAACCAAAATTACAACCTAAACTTCATTACACTACTCCAGATTTCATGTGATTCAATAATCACCATAGCTTATGATTAGAATTTTTCTTTTGTTTACTGTCTTTGAAATTACTACATGAGGAATGTATGATTGTAAATGCTTCCACATTTCTAGAATTCTCATAGTGAAATGGAATAATCTATTGATATTTAATACACTTTCAATTAGTGATGTTTGAAGCATACACGTGATGTCTGAAATTCTGGATTGCAAAGAGAAATATTCATAAAATAATGTAGTAGGTGGTTGATTTTGTAACTTAGACATTCCATTTGTAACAATATAGAGTCATTTATGGTTTAGTTAATAGATTTTAGACATTTGATAAAATGTAACAGATATTAGAGTCTGGCTTTTACTAGGTCGCCTTAGATGTATTCAATCGTATCGATCAGATTATGAGTGATGTATTCTGAGATGTTGGAGAAGATTTGTAGCTCAGGTGAAAGAGTTTGATGGAGTTTTGTTCTCTGAGCTGGATGGTTTGGTCGTGGAGCTTTCATCATCATCAGCACAAACTTCAGATAGAAGTGATGTATTCACTTGTTCATGCCTTTTTTTCGATAGTTTATAATGAAATTCAGAGTATCAATAAGTTTGTACATGCTAATTAATCTCTTCAATACTCATAATCTCCCTAAACCTCTTCCCTACTCAGACATTATATAAAGGATGGTTTTTTTTATATAGATGGTCTTTGGATACTACATGTAATTACTATCCAACTATGGAATCAGGAGTTTCAAATAACTCCTCCCATTCATTAAAGACAGCAAACTTGAGATAATAAGAGAGATTCATTTATTTTTCGATCTATGCATCAAAAAGATACTTAAAATGGCGTTTGCTTGGATTTCAATAGTTTCTGCCTAATAGACTACAAAATGTCATTTAGAAAACTATTCAGTTATGTACTGTAACTGCGTTCGGAGAACAAAACTGAAGAAAAACTAATCATGACTGAGATCATGTTTATAAACAATAATTCATTGGTAAGAATGCAGAAACAGGAACAAAGAGAACGGAATGTGGTACACATGAGAAAAAGCCAGTATTTCTACAGCTTAGCTTCATAGGTGATGAAATAGCTAGTATAGTTAATTCAATACTTGAAGTATGTTGAAAACAACTCATCCAGACGTTAAACTCATCTCGTTTTATCAAACCAACTGCTTGCTGATACAAAAAAATGAAGGAATTTCGGCTCCATTTTACTTCCAACTGTATTTTCGAATTTACATGTTCGCAGCACAGAGCACGTTCTGTAACAATTGAGATTAAAGGGTAAACGCATTTTCTATAGTGCGATTTCCCATCATCTATTTGAAAGTGGATAAAATGTTGATATTTCGAATATTTCTAAAATAATCAATGATCAGACAACTTCAGATTTACTACGTTTCGATAGGGGTATCGTTACTAAAAGATTGAGGTTGAACCTGTGTATTAAATGGATTACAGTTGCAAATCTCTCACTACGATGGTAACTTAAACTTGCCATTATTAAGTGACGTAACATTTTACTTCATGTACTCAAATGTAAGTTCGTTTTGTTCATTTTTTCAATTTTTCAGCTTTATTCATTTCATTTTATTAATTTCTCCTATTTTACGGTTGTTATTACGTAACACTTGCCAGAAATTTTCATTTTTATATATCAGATACTTGTTTCATTATTTTACGAAATTTCCACATTTAGTGACATAAACATTTATCCGATTTAACATTCTATAATTCTTCCTTATACATGCTGCCAATAAACTCCTTGTGACATTTACGTGGTATATTCCAACTTTTGGACATTAAAATTAAACTGATCTTTTCGAGTTATTATGCACCCCCATATTTGCCCCAGTCCATCATACACTAGTAACTTTAATTGTTTCACGTGAGCATATATGTACGCATGGTTTTTTATCATTTACTCTAAGCGTTACCTGTTTTTAGTTTGCTTCTATCTGTCTGAATATAAATGTTGACTCAAAGACACGTTTTATAAAACTGAGTAGACAGAGAAATCCTTCTCTAAGCTATACGTCTTATAGCCTGCCTGAATAAATGAGTGTCTGAAATAAATCCTTTGAACTCAGGTCGCATTCGGCTTTCTAAGGACCAATTCTGCCCACCGATGTTAGCCTGAGTATAAAATAAGAAATTAAGCAGAGTATTTCAATCTCATGGTTCATTCATACCTCGTTCATAACGAAGTCAATTCGTTTTCAACAACTAATCTTCATTAATATGATATAAGGTATGTACATTGATTGTAAATGGTCATTGTGATTGTTTGTAGGTCGTAAAGAGCTGAAGAAAAATCATGATTTTAAAGAATTTAGAACTAAAGTTTTCACTGTAAGACTTTCCGGGATAATTATTTAATATTTCCTTAAGTTATTACATTCACACTTGTATAGTTTATTACTATCATCAAATCATTTATTCTCAGAAACTATAAACTTAATTGAATCAAATACCAAATTGGAACTCGTTTACAATGCTCAATCTCATAAACCTTTTCATTTACTTTAGTTTTCGTTTTAAATATATCTTAGCCATAAACTTTGTACACTAATTGATTGCTCATTAACCATTGGTGGTAGCTGAACTATATTTATCCATTTTCAATGTGATCACTGATTTAATTGACTCAACTTCACATTTCACAGTTGTGTATCCAAGGTAGTTAAGATTAACCAACATAAAGCCGTGAAACAATTGTGTATAAATTGTAGCTCAAGAGAAGGATTTTAGAGGTGCTGAGGTCTCTGGGTTCAGAGGACACAACAACAAAGAAAATCTAAATTTAGAGTTTCTTGTTTAATACAAATAAAAATGGAGACAGTTCAAACAAATGAAATCTAGCAACTAATTGATGCGATCATAACATGAAATAAGATTTTACTTTCCTTCAGGGATAGACGTTAATAATTCTGGATCTTGTGCAACTGTGTATTAATTCAAGTTGTCATAGTTTATTCATATCAGAATAACAAGTGAGAATCTTATGGTGCAAAGGGAAGTTCATAAAAATAATAAAAATTGTAGCGTATGACTGGATTGTTTAAAATATATTATGATATACACTGCTTCCAACTTCGTATCCTTGTTTGATTATATTTGTACTCGATTTTGTAAAAAGATTACTTATTTAATATTAACGCCTGGAGTTCCTCCGGCGGCTACTGCCGGTCCTGAGCCCAGATAAAGCAGGAAGGTTGGGCATGAGGTTAGCGACACCATCCCGTAGAAAACTAACTCGCTAAAAAAACGCTAACCAGAAAAAATTATTCAAGCCGTTTAAACTCTGACCTGGGAGTCAGAAGGTCTTCATTGAGAAGAGTTATGACGCTTCATGGTGAAAGCCGAGTTCCTTCGGATGTCACAAGGCCGATGCCCTTTCTGACAACCAGAGAAACTATTTATTTAGGTACATGGAATACTCATACAATGTGGGAGACCGGGATTGATTTATTAATGAAAAAGGGAAATATTTATTGTTTTATTCATTTAATTTTTATAGAAAATATACTCGGTTATTGATTTTATTGATTCCATATAACATAACTTTCATCTTCTGTTCTCTTCTTCTATTTCTTCTTTAAAATTAGATCATATTTTGTTTTAAACAAGATCAGGTTTGGCATACATTGATAATAAATTATAATTAAACATAATGAATTTAATGAAACGTTGTTCTATTTCTTTCTTATATTCACTATTATATAATCGGTTTAATTCGTGAAAATCATTCAGTGAAACCTATTGAAATATGTATGTAAATTATAAATTTTTCTCAGTAAATATGAATATGAAAGATTATACAAACAAAATTGAGCAGAAAATTCAAACAATAAGTAATGAAAGGAAATGTTTAATGGGAATCTGGTGTAAACTAGTAAGCACTGGATATTCTGTTTTAGCTTACTTTGTAATTATCTATTATTCAGTACCGATTTAAGGTTTCCTGTAGACTAACTCAAAGCATTTAGTATTTCAAAATGGTACACTCGATGTCAATTCATTTAAGCTAGTGTTAACATTGTGATTTGATCGACAAAATTCAAGTAACATCCAAAAAGAATAAATAAACATGAAGTTGGGTATTACTCTATAACCAATCAATTGTAAATATATCACAGTTTTACAAGAGATCAGTTATGTCACAGATTGAACTCATGAGTCAGTTGAAGCTAGACCACCATTGAAAACCTGGAAGCACTGGACGGCCGTTTCGTCCTAGTATGGGACTCCTCAGCAGTGCGCATCCACGATCCCGCACCACGCGGGGCTCGAACCCAGGACCTAGTGGCTTCGCGCGCGAGCACTTAACCACTAGACCACTGAGCCGGCATCCAACGGTGTTAATGTCTAACTCCAACCAATCCACGAAGTTGCGCTACCGTACACCATTGTCTTCAGTGAGTTCCTATCTCACAACAGACCTGGTTGAACTCCACTGGTAACGACTTCTCACTAGAACTCCAGAAGTGTCTCCTGAAGTCAGTCACTAGTGAGCATGTGATTATTATTATCAGAACGTGTTTTGTGAGTTCAATCTGTGAAAATTTCTAAAAATCGAGCCCCGGGTGGTGCGGGGTCGTGGATGCGCACTGCTGAGGAGTCTCATACTAGGACGAAACGGCCGTCCAGTGCTTCCAGGTTTTCAATGGTGGTCTAGCTTCAACTGACTCATGAGTTCAATCTGTGAAAATTTCTAAAAATCTCCACAAACACATTCTGATAATATTTATTTCACTTGTTGAATATTGTACAAATGTTGTTTTCTATTTTATGGTACGATGTAGTCTCTTTGGTTGATATATAAACAGAGTATGTCTGAAATATAGTGATTCATATCTCAGAGGCTAAGACTTGCGTTCTGGACTCAACTGGCTGGGCTAGACAGGGAAGCAGGGCCAATCAGAACTCTAGGCCATTCTTACGTGTTATACGCGTCATTGATCCGATCGGTAAATACGCTTCGCTCCATATTCTGCAGTCACAAGCCACAACATTATGGCAAAAATAGCTCAATGTTAACAACTTAGATTATGTCAATAGATGACTTGTTAAGATCTCACGGGTATCATCAACTGCTTTACTATTGTACATGTGCCTTATTGATGAGTGCTAATTAGCACGATACCTAGGTCTAAGGTTTCCTCTCACCCACCTCCTAATATTGATTACTTTGGAGTAGTACGAACTCAAGACCTTCATGTATTGTAATGCACATAACATCTTTGAATCGTTTGGTCGGAATAAACTCATTTTTATTTTCAACCTCAGTTAATTTGTACGAAGTCGTAGGTGAGCACTAATCGAGAGTCCGAAAACTAAAATAGAATTGTTTACACGGTGATATGAAGTGTTTAGTGGTTGTCTAAGTAATATTTTATAGTAATGAAAGCTTAAATTAAGTCACGAAACGTCAAAAATACAATATCTGTACTCCTCATTGGAATATAACATAAATACATTGATTATTAATTCTTTGCCCCAATGCTCAGTTTATTTGAAACTATCGAGTCAAACCTTGGTATTGATACGTATCGGTAAGAAATTTGATACAGTAAAATTTGAACTGTTTTAGTCGATTTCATGTTTGTTTTGTGATGACTATCAATCATGACTAATTGTCGTATTAAAAAACCCACAATGCATTCGTTGAATTTTCCCATATATATCCAGATTATGACTTGCCCTCAAATACCTTGGTATGGCCGAGAGTGGTCCATGGCCACACATATACAGCCATTTACAGAGAAGTCCTACTCACTTTCTTCTCTTGAACGGGGTGTTGTTCTCGAAATTGGGGGGACGAAAACTAAATGTCCAGTGCTTTAATCGGGTTAGTGGATATGAAGGATCTGTCTAGAGGAGTTGGGAAACCTTGATTCCAAACAAATGGTGCACATGGAATCCAGGAAGCAGTGAGAACAAAAGGCGTATGAACCTATTGTTGGTCACCGGCTACTATGAGACTGTGTCTTTTAACGTTGCTCCATTGCCTTGTGAATTAGACCTCTAGGTCAAAGACTCGGAAAGTGACCTCGTAAGAAAACTACCTGCTTCATTTTGGGCGCTTGAGCAGTATCCCAGCTCTCACACAATTCGAATGACGAAATGTAGCGCATCAATATTTGGTGCCTCTTTGTACCGATGTTTATGTGTTTAAATAAATAGATAAATATAAAAAAAGGACTCAGAAGCTGCAAGGCCCTATTCAAAGGGAAATCGATTAATAAAAATGGTACTATTAATGTTAGAATGGTAAGTTGGAATTTTCTGACTTAAAACTTAGAAGTTACCATTAGATGGTTAAAGACTGAATTTGTTTTTCCAGCTAATAAAAATAAATGTGTGAAATATTTATATTCTCTCTATCGAAGTTAAGAATTAACTTAAAAACTGGATTCCCCAGGTAATAATTTAAAAATTATTTCATACCTGATCTTTTTCTTTAATTATTGTTCGTAATTTTGCCTCTAGTGATTCGTCTGTCGTTGTAGGCTGTAAAATGTTGAATTAACATAAAACCGTACGAACATTTATGCATATATATATATATAATTAGAAGATCAAAGGAGGTAGATTTTATCGAGCGAGGTAGTATGGTAATTGCTGTTACAGTTAGCTTTTCATTATTTTGATTCGATATTTAGTTTAAGCAACAGTTACACTGAATTGTAAGAACAGATGGATGGTGATTAGCAGTGGAGTCCGGGAGGCACGCTTCAGCTTATTCGAAACTCATAAACTGAATCTACCTGAATCCCATAGTTGATATTCACTTCGGCATTCGAACATAGTACTGTTCACCCCATTGAGCTATTCATTCAGCTACTAAGTCCAGATGGCCATTGGCTTATATTTCAGCAGTAAATTATCTCCCTTTTCTATTCGTCATAAATGTCGACACAGAACTTTGTCAGTCAGTCACTCAGCCACAACGTAGGACCAGGTACATATATGTGTCGGTCCAAGTTCCCATATCACATTAGCACAACAAGATGAACACCGGATTCATAGGAGTAGTTCCTTCAAACTGTTTCTCATAGATATTTTCATTCAATTTCTAAAAATGAATCAAAATCTATCTCATTAGAAAAAGGAGTTTAATGATTGAAAATTGTAAGTACCGTTTTTTTTTTCAATGCTATAAGTCAATTAGTAAGTTACATAGTTATATAAAATGGTTTCACTCAATAATCTAAAGTATTTGGTAGTTATTTTATCAGTAGTCTAAATCTTATTAATTGTGTCATAAATTTCAATGATATGTGTAACTATGCAGAAACATTAATATCTGTTATAAAATACATTGTGATAATGAGATATTATTATGGCAAATATCATTAAATGAAGTCGAATTTTGAAGTGAAGCTATAAATTTAAAACGCAAATTTTATGAATTTAGTATGAGGTGTTATAGAGATTATTGAAAGTACTAGAAATTAGCTATTCCTAAGTATAAGACTTCACCACATCAAATAACTAAAATCACTAGTGAAACTAATAGGTGCTAGCTTAATAGTTTAAAAGTTAAGCTCTCACCGTCAGTCCTGTAATTATTGATTTCACCTTTTAATAGGGTCATGAATCCTCACAACTGATAAGTCACGTACTCGGAGGAAACAATGATCCAGTGCTTCCTGGTTTTAACTTAAACTCTATCTAAATTCATTCTGTCATCCAAGACTCCAAAATCCATAACTTTATTCCTATAGTTTTATTAAATAAGCAAAAACATACTAGACTCAGTCAAATTTGTAATCGAATGACAATAACAAAATGCTATTTATCAGAAACTGGAGTACTCATTTAGTCTTTACTGTTTCTTACCGAACATGTATTGATCAGGTTACGTATTTCGGACTTGAAATCGGCAAAACGATCGTGATAAATCGCTAAAGACCATGTGTCATTAAAGTAACTGAAAATTAAAAGAAAATATATACATTTTTGATTATCGTGTAAAAACGCAATTATATGAATGAAGTATATTCTTTTCAATGAATTTTTCATCAGGTTCTACAAATATCTCATATCCAAATTAATAACCCATAAAATTGGCCAGATTTAAGACAGAGTACATCATTTGGAAATTGTAATATGTGAATCAAGAATTATTGTTTGTCATATAAAATCAAATGAAATCGTTTATGTTTGGGCTGGCTAATATGAAGTATTAACTTGAATCAGTTTATAAGTGAAATGAAATTATGATATGGTGTGCTGATGATGTCGTTCAGAAGAACGATGAAAGCTCAATGACCAAGCCATCCAACTCAGAGAATAAAACTCCATCAAAAAGAAATTGTGAGATAAATGATCAGAATAAATATGGTCAACATGGGTTGAGAAAGAGAGAGAATAATGGAATAAAAATCAGAAATGACGTAATATGTAGAATAATCTGAATTAGGTCAGATATAATAGATTTAGGGGTGGATGTTGAAAAAAGCTTTCAAACAGGTTATCAAGTGTAATAATAATAATAATGATAAAGACAACAATATCAACGGTAAAGATAGTAATAATAAGTTTGGGACATAAAAATGAACATTAATCAAATTACGTCACCATAATATGAAATTGGTCATTAACTAGTTGGCCACGAAGTTGGCCAGTGTATAAGGGGCGGCTGAACATATTTCTTTTGGATGCAAAGCTCGTGCATTCTGATCCGAATAGTAATTGCTTCAGACGTCTGCAAGATTCTCGATTTGGCGGAATTAGGGAGACTGCTGTTAACATGATATATTATTGCGAAAGATTGCTCCATGATGACTGGATTAAATGGGCTAAAATGAAGCTGTTAACCGTTTTGACTACACCTTTGCTTAACCACACTAGGAGGTGCTCACGAGCCCGAATATACAAATTCCTAGAACATCTCCCAACATAACTTGCTCCATAGGAGAAGTTGAATTGATAGATACAGAAAGAGGTAGCTAGTCTAGGCAATTTGTCTTTCAACCTCGGAGTGATCATTGGACGTGTGGAAAACATTAAATGTAGTTTACCTGCATTAAAAAGTCTTTAGATTAATCTGTATAACTTTAGTCTTAGCATTTCACTCGGTGCATCGCCTCTCAATTGCAGGCATATATACAGAGGCTTTTTATTCATAGTTAGGCATTCTTATTGTTGTCTTTTATTGACTATATTTTTATTCATAAATTTCTCAGGATATCCATTTTCTTTCAGGGTTGTGTATAATGCCATCTTCGACCGTATCTAGAGAGCATATTGTCTTGATTCAATGTCTTAATATGGTTCCTTTTGAATTGCAGAGGAACAAAACTAAGTTTGTATATTAACCCGTTCAAGTAGTATATATTTGATACTAATATTTAGTAAACCTTTAATAGCATATATAAAACACCAAATTCTTAATTCTTTTTGCTTTCATGAAAGCTGCTAATTAATTAGTGTTCAACTATGATAGACAAAACTATCTAGTTGAAATATTTCTCAAAACGGATCAAGTATGAACTTAATATTTAAGTCATTAATTTATCAATTCTATATATTTTCTTAAACTTCTATGATTATATAAAGGATAGTGTTCATTGTACTGAAATAATGAAATGGGTTTCTGTTTTTCAATAGTATGTTTACATAATATTTCATCTTATTAACAAATTTAAGTGTATTATACATTAACCTACAAATGTGACTAGAAGCATTTAATTAAGAATAATTTAAATAAAAGCAATACAATACAAAAATACCTTCATCAATGTTTTAAGCATTATAACCCTGTTTTACATTATAACTGTTAAAAGACTGTTGTCTGTTTATCTAAAACTGTAATGTAGGTTATATTCGGTATTGATTTTTTATATACCGTTCTAAAGTTAACATTTTAATACCATATCTTTACACATTTAGGCGTGACTGAATACCAAATCAATGGCCCAAAGATTCAGAGTTAGTTGTGAGAATTAAATGTGTTGTGTCCGATGCAGTTGTGATCGTGAATATAAAAGTACTGAGAAATCGTATATCAGGATGAAATAGGTTTACAGTACTGTCTTGTTTTTAGTGGTTGTTTAGCTATATTAAGACTGTGATGGCAACCATAATTCGATCTTATTCTGTTTCTTTAAACTTCTCCTTTACCATTGGTTTTTCTTGTAATTGATAATAGCGCTGTTCTGATTTCTATATCTATGTTGACACGAAGTGTGGGACCTTGGGTCAATGTATGTCTGTATAGTGCGCTTATTTGTTTATGGATATCTGACTTTGTAATAATAGGATTTGGAAGGCAAACGTTTCGTTCAGATCTATTTAATCCAACTACATTTCCAGGATTATACCGAACTACATAGTAGCAATTGAGCTGAGTGGTTACGGTTTCGAAATTTAAATTGATTCTTCTTTCTAATGCGGAACTAATATGATGAAGAATAGTTAGTTCTGTCTATCTTGTTAAGAAGTAGGCTGGGCACAGATTTGGGTGATTGAAGTAAACTAACCAAAAACGTAATTTAACCAACAGTTGGGAAAAAAACAAGAAACTGTGAAGCACTTACTCATAAAAATCACGAATTAAACCTTCATCAAATCTTGACACTAAGTGGTTTAAAAGGAACTCATGTAAATTGAATAGTTGAATATAGTTCTCAGCAGGGAATTCCTATGGGGAGATCGAAAGAGAATATTGATTTGAAACAAATAGTCACTACGGAAAATTTTTACATTAGGCTTTTTATCAATCTAATAATTGTTATGTTGGGGTGTTGTTTTATTCTTACATTAATAAACATATTTCCTATATATACACCCAGCATGTTAGGTAAGCGCGAAGACTAACAAAGAACAGAGAATTGTATTAGGAAAACGCAACAAAATATGTATCAACTCATTGATATATACATATACAGCCCTAGGACTGTTGAGTCAAATAAGTGATAAACATTACAAGATATTTCACTGAAAAAATTGGTTGGGAAGAAAATGCTTATCACTAATTTATAATCTTTGTTGGTCATTAAAATAACACAAAAATTGGGTATAGGATTTCACTTGTGTGAACTTCAGGTTTTTATAAATGTACCTAAAAAATTTCGTCCTGTACAACCGGGATGTTCATACATGTCAAATTAATTTGATTCAGATCCACAGTCAATCTCTTTCAATTATATAATTGTCTGGTAATCTAAACTTTAGAAACAAATAGACTGATACAAAATCAATCTCTACAAAAGTTTGAAAATCCTCCTACCTGCATCAGATGATCGAATTCAGTTATATGTTTATGTTACAATAACTATATGGCATTAATTATCACAAAAAACTCAAACCTGATCTATGTATTCAAAAAGAGACAGTAATAAACCTATTACTACCTTGGTAATTTCAATTTTTGTTAATGTTTATTTTGTCATATTTCTTTTCCGTTATCGAATTCTTAAACCACTCCTTCGCTCATACATTTCCACTCCCTCGATTCTCTTAAATTATGTAGACTCATCAAATCCAATTATGTTATTACGTAACCCATATTACGAGTTTTTGAATTCCATGAATTTTATGTAAATCCTTCATTACATCTAAAATATCATATAATTTATCTTATCTGTCTCTGAACTTTACTAAACCATTGCGTCACCCATTCCTAATGTTACTGTGATTCTTACACTAAATAAACTTTGACCTGTTCTTGCACACATATATATGGTTATTATTGTTAACCTTTGTCATCTCAATCCTTTACATTCATACTATATCTTACCTCAACATAAAATTTTAATATATATTTGGTTGTGAGCAGCTGATGAGAAACCACGGAATATAATGACTTCATATTATTCTGCATCAATATTCATTTTGGCTTTATTTAAATTAATATAGGGAACTAATTGCATGAAATTATCACAGTCTTAATATCTATAATAAGAACTGTTAATATAATAGTTTCATTATTTCAGTGGTTAAGATCATGAGTCAGTTGAAGCTAGACCACCATGGAAAACCTGGAAGCACTGGATGCGCACTGCTGAGGAGTCCCACAATAAGACGAAACAGCCGTCCAGTGCTTCCAGGTTTTCCATGATGGTCTAGCTTCAACTGACTCATGATCTTAACCATTAAAATTACTATAATATCCACAAAACCCATCTGATATTAAGTTTCATTATTATTTTACACATATAAAAAGATAGTATTATAAGTAGTAAATAAAACCTGTTTCACCTTTGTAGATAAGCACGCTATGTCCTGAATTAAATTATACTTATTGATATAGATCGAAAAGTATCGTATTTCTTTAGCATCTTCGCCAGTAACCAGTAGACGACCCTATGATGAAAATCAAAATAAAGAGAATATATATATCGTTTACAAAGTTATTTTACTCATTAAAATGTATGAATTTTCATTTCAAAAGTTATTTAGTTTTCCACTAAACATCCATGCAACATAAAATACCCAATAAAAATGATAGAGTAAGTGATAATTCTTTCATTTTAGCATAATAAAGCTTAAGAGTTTATAATTAACACATGAAGAATAAAGCCTGAGTCTTTTTAATGTTGTAGTGTATAAACTGTAATTGACCTTTTCAATCATGATTAAGTATCAGATACTACTGTAGGACAATGTAGTCAATAACAATACTCTTCAAAAGGATGGAAGATATACATGATAGATAATCCTAATAATAGAATGAAACATTTAATGATTGATAGAAAACATTTTAACCATTTAATACCAGTTTAAACAGTCAGCTGATGAGGTAAACGGTTCTGTATTTATAATTTTGTTTCATGATGCTGTGTAGTTTTCATAATCCAACCAAATAGTTAATTATACTTGTGGGCTGATTAGTATAAATTATTCAACAACTTTTTTCTGCATAAAGCTTTTGATATTTGTCTGAACGTTAGATTCAGTGTTACCTAACACGAGTCGATAATGATACCAGAGTTTAAAGATCATGAGTATAGAAAATGCTATAATAATTCATTTATATGTTATTTTCCGTGATGGTGATTTTTATCAATAGACTCCTAATTAGTTTCTATAATGGCATCCTCATCTTCCAACTAGAATCCTTGTAATATTTCATTGATTTTCTTGGCTATTTCTTCATGAACTATAAATTTTTATAAGAGCGGATTGTGAACAGGGAAACTAAGCACATTTTATTTAGTTGCATACTTTCACACTTACTAGGATATAATCAAGTAAACTTTATGATTTGTTAGAAAAAATTCAAAGGTTTGAAAATGATGTACTTAATGCATGATTTTCACATTTTACTAAACCACTTTGTGATTTTGAATAATTAAATGGTTTCCTGATAAAGTGTTCGTCTACTAAATTTGATGTCACTGACTCTACTCAGGAAGAGGATTCCACGGCCTCTGAAGTTTAGGGAAGGAGATATGTTAGTCTCCCTGAAGGAGTTTGAGACTGTTGCAAAGCCAATGAGTGTGAAAAAGCTTAAGGCGAAGACGGTAATACCGCGGACGCTTACTAGAGGCAGTGCGAGGGTTGTTTATGACAGCTGTGAGGATGCTGGAGAGAGGCGGTATCAGAGCAATCGTTCGCAGAAATCGATAGCCCCGTGAACAGGTGGGAGGTACTCCGGAAGTTCAAGCCAACGAAGCTGCCGGTGAGTGGTCACCCACTAGTGTTGACAATGGAGCTAACCAGCTTGTTAGGCTGTGGACTGCCGAATTAGGATGAAAAGTCAGAAGCCTAGTTGCTGGCATCGCAGTTCTTCGAAAGTGTACCTGTGACTGATCGGTACAGGTGTAGCAGTATCATTAACAGACAAAGAGCAATGTAAGAAAATTGAGCCCTGCTCATTGGTTATCCATACGATATGGGGCCATACGTTAGCAAATGTAGTAAACAAAGATTTTGTGGGGAAACCATTGAATCATTAAAAATCACACAGTGGTTTAGTAAAATGTGAAAATCATACATTAAGTACATCAGTTTCATATCTTTAAATTGTTTCTAACAAACTTCACTGTTCCTTTATTTCTGTTTTTATCTTGATTGCTTTCAGTTTTCTTCCCTCTTCTCTTCATTCCGATCATCTCACTCTCTTGCTCGCAGGTATTCCACTTTCGAATAACACTACATACTACTTATATCTGTTAAAATAAGTAGTATACACCACAATATTACTGATGGTAATAGGGATCAAAGATTACATCACAAAATTTACGTATTTTCCCTTTGCAAACAGTATATTATACCATTGTTTTGTGAATTGTTCTTAAAATGTTTTGTATACCTGGTTAGCAAATTCTATTCATTCGTTTCATTTATTTAACAATATCTTCATTTCGAATATGTTTCATGTGATTTCCGTGTTTGACAATAGGAGATGATCAAATGGAGCAAGTTTTCACTAGAAAAACGTGAGTTTTGTACTCATAGAGTAAATACATTATTTCTTTCACAGCATTTATTTGTTTCAGTCTAATTAGTAATGAAAGTAAAAATTCAAGGCAATTCATTAAAAGTTTATACGAATATTCGTCATGATTAGAACGAATAGTTTGACAGTAATTGAGCGCCGAGTATAGAGAAGTCATTATATGTGAAAATTATATTTGAAATATTCTCAGCTATTGAAATATAACTAATTCCAACGTTTCGTCCAGCTAACTTGTCTGGACTTCTTCAGGGTAATAATCAAAATCAAAATTATCAAAGACATATATAGCTTTTTAACAATCAGGATTATACTGTGTTAAACCAATCATATTTGGATGTTGATTTTTTGTAAAATAGGATAAAATGAGTCAGTTGACTACAAATCATGTGATGAATTCAACTACATAGAAATAATTAACTGAGTAACAAATCGTATGTGTGTGAGTGTGCAGGTATGTATGTATGTGTAAGAGATTGATATGAAGGTATAAATAAATAAATAAAGTTCAACTTCAAGGTTGAAAAATTTTTTGATAATGAAACATCGATGTACATGTCAAAACATAAATTGTATTGTTTAAAAAACTCATTGAATTCATTCAAAAATAATAACGATGCATGTAGTTTAAACAAGAGATAGGTTCCAAATTTACTTGTCAAACGAAATTTGCCATGTAGTTGCTAGTTGAATACCATCTTTTCGGTTCAGGCTGTTCTTGTTCGCCCATATATGCAGCGCTTCTGCTGTCAATCTTTCTTTATGGGTGTTAAAACATTTCTGAAGTATTTTGGCCCCTTCAAAATTAATCTTGTGTCCTGTTTCTAACGCATGTAACGCTATCGCTGACTTATTTTCAAGTTTCTTTAAATCGACCGAGGATTTTGGAACATTTTTCAAGCATTGTTTGTGTTCCTTCAATCTTACATTCAGTTGCCTGGATGTTTCTCCAACATAGGTAGCATTACAGTCATGACAGCGAATCTCATACACAATGTTCTGTTGTTCTTCCTTTGCTAATTTGTCCTTAACTTTCACTAATGTCGATCTTAATGTGTTATTCGCTCTAAAATACACTCTTATATCATGTTTGTTTAGAATCCGTTTGATTTCTTCTGATGTTTCACTACGGTAAGGTATGACTACGGTGTACTTCCATTCTTTTCGTATACTTTCTAGTTTAGTTTTTCTTTCATTTTTAATAATCTTCTTTAAAAACCTTTTTGGGTAGTTGTTATCCCTAAGAGTAGAAAATACTTTATTTAATTCGGTTCGTTGGTCTTCCTTGTCTGTAACAATCTTAGTACTTCTGTTCATTAGATTTTTCACTACATTAATTTTCGTGCTCTGTGAATGGGCCGAATTAAAATCCAAGTATCTCTCGGAATGTGTTGATTTTCTGTAAACATTTATTTTTAACTTCTTATTATTGTGTCGACGTTCAACCAAACAATCTAGAAATGCTAGTTTGTGGTCAACTGATTTTAATTCCTTAGTTAGTTTAATGTTTTCAGAAATGCTGTTTGCATTGTTAAATAGTTCTTCCATACCATCCCGTTTATTGATAATAAAAATATCGTGTACATACCTTAACCATAACTTTGATTAAAAGCATTGTTCGAACTCTTAGAAAATAGCCAGTTTTTGGAGATCCATCACAGATCAAAGAGAGATATAAGAGCAATCATGATTCATATCAAAATCTTATATAATTCTACTTTTCAGAAAATTCTAATCGTTTTATTACATTTCGTTTGGAATAACTAGTTATTTCATCTTAATAACTTTAACTTTCTGATGATGCTCTGAAATCCGTTTGGAATTATGTATTGGTACTTTTCATGCATAATATTTCCATATTCTAGCACCATTTAACTAAATGTGTTGGTTTGCTCAACAAAATGGAAAAGTCATCTAGACATTTATGGTCTCAGTAACCGTTCAATTCAGAATTTATTCAGTTATTCAAAAACATGAGACAACACAGCTATGTTATCAGTAAAGATTAGTGAGGCAAATCAAGAAAAAAACAATAGCATTTTCATTCGTCGAAAGATAATCCGTTTGAAGTTCACACGATGAAATGTATTGAAACTGGCTATTTCATAGTGGCTGGTCGTATGTCGAGGCTACATAGCTTATTCTAGGCTATGGATAGATCGTTCTATTCATTCTTCATGAGTCAAATGTTTACCCTGCCACTTATTCGCTTATCAGCCTTGACTGTTCTTGTGTAAGCGTATGTGTGCGCATTCCTTATCCTATTCATCACATATCTGTAACTTATTTTTGTGTGATTATAAACATATCTGCGCAGTATCATTGATGAACACGATGGATCTGATGCAGATGTGAAGGCGCAGATCGGCAAAGCAAGAGCAGCATATTTACAATTGAGGAACATCTGGAACGCGAAGCAACTGTCAACCAACACCAAGGTCAGGATTTTCAATACAAATGTCAAGACAGCTCTACTGAATGGGGCATAAACCTGGAGAACTATAAAAGTCATCATCCAGAAGATAAAAGTGTTTATTAACAATTGTCTACGCAAAATACTTCGGATCCGTTGGCCAGACACTATTAGCAACAACCAACTGTGGGAGAGAGCAAACCAGATCCCAGTGGAGGAAGAAATCAGGAGGAAGCGATGGAAGTGGATAGGACACACATTGAGGAAACCACCGAACTGCGTCACGAGACAAGCCGTCACATGGAATCCTGAAGGCCAAAGGAGGAGAGGAAGATCAAAGAACACATTACGCCGAGAAATGGAGATAGACATGAGAAAAATGAACGAGAATTGGATGGAATTAGAAAAGAATGCCCAGGACAGAGTGGGTTGGAGTATGCTGGTCGGCGGCCTATGCTTCATTGAGAGTAAGAAGCGTAAGTAAGTAAATAAATAGAGTTGGCTCATTTGCCTTCTCCATCGCGCGCCATTTCGTTCACTCTCTTCTCTTCGTTTCATTCCTCTGATTGCCTGCCCAGATCAATGAGTGTACAAAATATATGTATTCAAAAATCCATTCTCGTACTTGACTCATTTAATTCCGTTATTAACTGACGCGATTTAAGTCGATAATGATATACGAGGATTGACGACAGATATATTTCACTAGCAATTAGGAATGATCCAAATGGGGTCAGATCTCGAGCCACTAAAATTTATTAGGAATTCATGAGTTTTATTAAGAAATATCTGGTATTAGTAATGAAGAATTCCAGTCTGCTTGTTATTACAATTATATTTGATAATGTTTTAAGTTTAGCGAATTAATTGAAAAAACTGAATACTTTACAAGGTGGCTTCATTAAACAAAGTCACTATTATATTGGGTGCACAACTGTATCACAATCAAAAGTGATACTTTTCAATTATTTATTGAAAATTGAAAACTCATAAATATACATCTTATTCTTCAGATAAAAATTGAAAACAACTTACAAATTCAGAATTATTCATTCTAGTATCCATGGATTCCCATAATGATGGTTGTGTACAATGAAGATAAAAAAGATTACCCGGCAGTAATGCACCAACAGTTTTAGATTGTTTAAATGTTGGCAAAATAAATGAATCATCTACTGGAGGTGCTTTTACGTTTTCAATATTCGGATCAAATAAATTTAAAAGTTGGTCTCCTAACTATGAGAAAAAAATACAAAACATAATAATGTAGGAAAGCAATACAATTATGGAGGTCCAAAATGTTGGCGTCAGAAAGATAAATTACAATCGATTTCGATCCCATGAAGAATAAAAATTTCGAGTCATAGACATCATGTGAAATCTATCGAAGTGATAAATATTTCGTGATTTGGATGACATGAACAGATGATCCAATCAGTAGACCAATAAAGCATATGCTTCTTTTAGGAATAAAAAGGATAAATAATTTTCGGTAGGTACTGCTAACAGATGCTTTAAATTGAGACAAAACAGCAGATCGGCGTTTTCTGGTTTTTAGTGATTCTGCAGTCAACATCAATTTGTAGCATAAAAGCCGATTGAAAAGTCTACAAGAAGTTTAATTACATCACCCGAATTTCTAAAGATTGAAATCTCACTAGTAACTAGCTTTCTGATGGGTTTTCCATGGGCGTCACCTTTTCCTGTATGATTGAATAAGTCCTGAACCAGTTGTAACCCTCAAATGACATTGTTTGTGAATAATAATATAAAATAATTTGACTCAGTTAAAAAATATAAATTACTGGAATTGGCAGATAATCAAAATCATTGCAATCAGGACCAGTCAAAAACTGGTTGGCTTGATAAGTTATTGTGAGGCAGGAATAATAAATATTGAAAGATACGGTGAGTTTATTTTATTTAACTTGCCGTAAACACTCCATATAAACAGTAGTATTCCTTATAAATAAATTTTTTATACATTTATTTCAGTGATAAATCTGGAGAAATAATAGAGGTTACTGAAAACTATAGGATCTTGAGTGGCCAAACAGAAGACAAAAAATGACTATGTCTAAACACAGCTTGCTAATCACCTGTGTCTGCTTTGGTCATATGATATTAACCTTTGATCTTCTTCAATAGCTTTTGAAATTAAGAGATATTTTTTCATCTTTCATACCGTCTAATCACCTAATCATCTATATGAGTGAAGTTTTCATGTCAAAGTAACAAATGCTTCGATTTATTTGCTATATCTTAATTTCTTCCGATTTCTTGTTGTCCTCTAAAGTTAAAGTAACACCATGTTGATAATATGAAATCGATGACATTTTTCTATCACTTCTAGTTTTCTCTAGAGAGTAAATAACCATAAGATTGATTGTTTTATAGTAAAATATACATATCTACGCTGTATTTATTCATTTTTAGCTTGTGATTTTCCGTATGTATAATACTCATCAGTAGAAACAGGGTATCTATAGTAACTATATTAGTGTATGGTGAACTACTGTTAAGGAAATATATTACTTTCGAGATAGATCTTAATACTAAGTGATAACTAAGTTATTTAAAAATAACTTCGTACTACATAGTTTGTTAATATTATATATGAATCAGATCTAATCAACTCAACATATAAAAATATGTGTTCTAAATAATACAATGTAGATTCATAGACTAAAGTAACTTTGTATAGACATTCGTCAAAATACGAATGAATAGTTTAGGAGATATTGACTGACGACTGTACAGACAACAATAAATAAATAAGGGTGTTTGAAATAATCTTATTGATTAGATTCTAGATAATTACAAGGTTCTGCCCAATAAACTGGTCCAAGTTTCTTCAGTGTAATTAAATTACTATATCATTCCAGTTAGTGAGAAGCCGTGACCAATGGAGTTCAACCGTATCATATATGAGGCAGTTACTGACCGAAGACAATGGAAAATAGTTGTGTAATATTTTGAATTGGTTAAAGTTAAACATTAACACCGTTGGATGACAGCATAGTGATCTAGAAATGAAGTTTTCAAGCACGAGACTAAATCGCCTGAGTTCGATTCTCAGATGTGGAGTCGTGAACGCACAGTAATGAATGGTTGTCCAGTTCTTCCAAGTATTCAATAATGATCTGACATTCATCGGTTGACGATTACAAACAAATCTATTTTACTTACAGACTAAATTAAAACACATCTATTCTTTTGAAAATAAATAAAGAAAAATTGACAATAAACATTATTATCAGAAGGGGTTTTGTGGAGATCATAATCATTTCAATAGTTGGAATCATGAGTCAATTGAAGCTAGATCACCATGGAAAACCTGGAAGCACTGGACAACCGTTTCGTCCTATCGTGGATGCGTACTGCTGAGAAGTCCCACAATAGAACGAAACGGCCGTCGAGTCCTTCTAGGTTTACTATGGTGGTCTAGCTTCAATTGACTCACGATCTCAACTACTGAAATAAACATTATTATTAATTTGATAAATATATATAAAAGTAACAAAAGTATAAATCTGAATTTTCTTGAAATCTTACACAATGACCAATTTCCACACTGTCTGCAATTTCATGTCTCCAATAATCATTATAATAAATTCGTTTTAATTTGGTTATTGGACCAGCAGCAAATATTGATGAATCGTTTGTACGAAAATGAATATCAATTACTAATCTTGAATCAAATACTATGCATGAATCATTTAAAGCTATTTGAATTAAGGAAAAATAATTTTGAAAATAATTTCGATAATGTAATTAGAAGACGAAGATTATCAGAACTATGTGATATATTAGCGTAATACATTTCGAACAATCTGATCACACATATATAAAAATAAAAGGTCAACTAGACTGGAAACGGGGTAAGAGGAGACAAGGATAATGATAAGAGTAATAATAATAATAATAATAATAATAATAATGTGAACACAATTCGTAACCTAATCAATATTACCAGGGTAGTTTTGAGGTAAGGACAGACTGTTTTTGAACACACAAAGGGAGTTTGAATTTTCGTATGGCTAAGGCTTCAATAAACCTTAGTATACGCCCTTTTACACTTTTATACAACACTAGATCAATCTTATGGCCTGTTTCAATTATAGGTTTAGCAATAGAGGATGATGGATGTTTATCCTCTGGGTCACCTGATTGTATTTGTTTCTGCAGCCATTTGGGTATATGTTCACTCACCCTGATGTTGAGATCACGATTACTCCTCCCTATGTATGTGTGACTACACACACATTTAAATTAGTAAACACAGCGGGATGTGACACAATCATTTTCATGTCTTTTAGGTTTTGAATGAACCATGCACCTTGTTCTTTCTTTGATGATTACCTTTGCTGCGCAATACTTTTTATTGATGACTGATTCAAGTCTTTGTTTCAATATAAGGCTATTTGAATCACCTCTGAACGGTAAGGTGATGTAGACAGGCTTTTTCTCTACCGAGGCTACAGTAGATCCCGCTGTACCATCTATTTATGAATTTCAGAGGATAGCCATTTTCTATTAACGTTTTATTTAACAACTTAACATCATCATCAATGGCGTCGTTTGTACAAATACGATCGAGTCTGTTGAAAAGACACCTTATCAGACCACGTGTGTATTGCACAGAGCAATAGCTATAATGACTAAGATATTGACCTGTCCACGTTGGTTTTCTAAAAATAGATCGCTTGACTGAGCCATCTTCTCGTCTACTCAGAAGTATATCTAGGGAGAGAAGCTGATCGTTCTTCTCCTCTTCACATGAGAGATTAATATGGTTTTGGAGAGTGTTAAGTTTATTTAATAAACAGTACATATCCTCTTTTCTCTCACAAACAACTAAGATATCGTCCACCTATCTCTTATAAAGTGGCATGTTTTCGATTAGGTCATCAGTCTGATTTTCAACATGTGCCATGAACACATCTGCTAATAATGGTCATAGCGGAAAATAATTGTCATGGCAACCCTTTTTTTGTTTTTGAATAAATATTTGAATATACATGGTAGTAACAATAATATCAACAATACAGTCAATATAATAGGGGGGATTATTTTTGTCGTCTATTTTTCTTAAGTGAAAAAAACACAACTAATTCCGTACAATGTAAAATTAAATGTTACCAATTAAGCTTCATTACAAATAGATTGTAAAAAAAATTAAACAAATGAATCATTAGTCAGTCAGTCAGTAACAACGTACAACTTCGTACGTACGTACATCAGTTCGAGTTGCCACACCACATTAGCACAGAGATGCAGTTGTCGATTCAAATTCCGTAGTGGTAGAGGTAGCAAGAGTATAAGCAGTAATCGGGAAGATTAGGGTTTGGAGATGTTATTTAAAGAGTATAATACAGTGAAATAAATTTGGAAAGAGAAAAAAAAGAAAGGGACATGAAGAATACAGAAGATTAGAATTCGGGAGAACACAAAGAGTGGATGCACCTGCACCATTGCAAACGATTTTGAGCCATGTAATTCAGGGTCTCTAACCATCGGTTGCTATCATCTCGTGGTCCCCAACCAGGTAGTCTACACCTACCAACATGGCTCAGTCCACTTGTCAGTGACTTCATGGATTTGTGCCATGATTTGGTCAGGCCACCCCTAGCTTTCTTCCAACCTACTCCTATACCATTGAACATCGCTCGTCGAGGCAGTCGTTGGGCATACGTAACACGTACCCCAGCCATCTCAACTGACGAAGTTTCACTACTTCATCGATTGATTTGCCATGTTTACCTAGTGCCCGTGTCCTAACAACTGTGTTACTTACTCGATGGTCCCATGATATACGAGCAATGTTTCGAAGACACCTATGATCGAATACTAGTAACCTACGAATATCCTCTACTCTTACCGGTCATGTTTCACTGCCATAAAGTAGGACGGAACGAACTGCTGCGCAGTATTTTGATCTTATTTCAAGATATAGGTGTTTAGTATTAAAGATTTTCAAACTATGATAAAATGGTTTGTAGTAACATCATGTATACTTGGAACATAATAAGCGTTTGATGAAATTTATAGTCATATCATACAGTGATATGATAGATTGATAATAAAATCTTACCAAAACTGATACAAAGTAGAATAATTACGTGAGTTTTCGATAAATCATAGTAATCTTATTAGTTATATTGGTTATATATTAGTAGTTATTATATTAGTAAGCAGCCGAACTCCAATCTTCTGAAGTTTGCTGAGGCGATTGCCATCAGGCGTCAAAAACCTGACCTATGTGTTCAAAAGGAGACGGTTATTAATCTTTCCCTGCCTTGGTGACAAATATTCTTCTGCTCCACCTTAATTTTTTTTCTTTTTTCTTTTGTGTTTATTACATCATTGATTTTATTTTTTTCAACTATCTTTCAAATTAATAATCTTTCAACTGAACTCTACTACAAAGAAAGGAGGGTAGCTGAGGCGTTCCATATAATGCTTAATCCTACTTCTCTCAATAGAAAGGAAGGTCTTACCATACATCCTACTTGAACCATCTATCCTAGCCATTCAGTCTGATCGTATTTACAATTTCACACTATCATATTACAAATTTAAACTATATCCTTTCTTACCATAAAGGTCACACAAGTTTTCATTCTTAAACAATGCACATATACATACACACAAATTTACATACATATCACTTATGAATCACCTTGACAGAAATGACAAGACATCAACTTGTTCAGACCTGATTTTTGATTGATCCAATATTATTCTTGCATTGTTCCGTTGTCCTATTTAAACTTGAATTAATTTTAATTTGGTTATTTATTCTCTGAAGAAGTGATTTACACTAAGTCACGAAACGTCAGAAAATTCAATTTTCTGCTCATTGGGATATTACAAATATATTATTTTTATTTATAACAATCAACCCAATGCTCAATTTATTCGAAATTATCAAATCAAACCTTGGTAATGACACCTATTCTTATCAATGTTTATTCATCACGTAATGAATTGTTTCTAACCCCTTTTTGAACTGTTGTCACAATTAGTGCTGTAGAATATTCTTTCACACTAGGTATATATTTATAATATTCAGTAAGCAATTTAAACCCATTATGTAATTATGATTTTTAAATATCACAGGTTGTAAACAGCTGACGAGAACCTACGAAATAAAATGAATTCATGCTATTCTGCTAGAATCTTTGTTCTTGCTCTTTTCAAAATGATAAAGGGAACTATGTGTATGAAATATATTGTATATGTCTATATTCAATAGATCATGATCTTTCAGGGATATATATTTATGTACGCCTTATTTATATATGTATTTGTATTTACCATGATAAGTTCATTAGTATGTATTAACTGAGATATAAATTTATTTAAGGAGTTGGGGTATGACCTATTCTCAAGCTTCATCTATTCATTTAATTTACGGATTGTCTGCATATGCGACTGCATGAAATGACATTTTCCAGAAACATTTCACATTCGACTTTTACATACCACCACTACATAAATGAAGTGATCCGACGCATTATATACGGCGTTAATAGGATCTACTGTTCATTGATTATCGTCATCATTAGAAACAATGGATTCGACAGTGACTAAAAGCTCTTTATTCCTGGTTAATGCACACTTCTACAACAGAAATGAAAGAAAATTTCCAGGATAACTTTTATAATTAACTAAAATCAACTAAAGTATCCATAAAAATTGTGGAGTAATAGATGACCATTTTATCTTATGACGAAACTGACCAGAACAATCCACACTTTAGATGCCATAATTGGATTAACTTCATAACATAGTAAAAGGGAACCTAAATGGTGAGAATTTTTCGAATTCAGTCACTTCTCTGTAACCGTAATCTTACTTATATACCTACTAATCATGAAGGCTATGTTCAAAGGAACAACTAAATCGTACAATTTACATAGCAACAAAATTTGTTCATATGCTTGGTACTACACTGAACATAAATATGCTTTATTAAATGTTTTCCCGTTAATATACATAGGTTAATAATTAACCAAATAATAGGTCTCATGTGTTCATTGGATTTTGATAAATTTTATATGACCATTTAATAAGTAAACAAAAATCATTTAAATTTCTAAAAAAAAATGATGATCAGGTGAACAGGGTAAAAAGCATTACCTTTGAATACATCCACGTCTACCGTCTTCATATGAAAATAGAATAATCCCTTTTAAGTGAGAAAAAAAAGAATAAAAAAGTTGGAAAATTGTTTATCATGATTATTGATTACTCTTGGTTCATTTAAGGGCAAAATAGAAAAAAAGGTGTTTACAGAACATTATTCAGGAAAAAGGTCAACCATTATTTCAATGAAGAAAGTACATCTATATTCTTCATTGAATGCTACATTAAAATTTAAGCATAAAATAGTGAGTTATCTGTTCATTTTTCATGATTAATAGACAGTTTATTCCCAATATCACACATAGAACTGAATTAAAGATACCTAATATACATGTGGAGCACCATACTTACAGATCATTGAGAAATAGTGAAGTGATTCGTAATGATTATCAAGGATTATTTTATGTATAATTCACTCAGTGAATTGGAATCTCTAACTTGAACAAAATATCTGTCAAATACGTACTGATTTTCAAAGATTCAGTAGAACATATCAGTTCTTGACAGAAGTGTTTTCTTTAAAAATGTAAACACACCCTTACATAATCATCTCACTGAATACATATATTTAGCTCTAAAATTTATGTGACCGTTTAAAGCGTAAATATACAGATACGATACAAAATATCATACATTATCATGTCATTTATTCTCAATAATTTTAAAGAATACTAAGAAGATAAACATCATTGACTTACTAAACATGGTATAGTTAAAAGTTTTCCATTTGAATTAAATGTAACTGTTTTAATGTCAGATGAACTGGATTCCATGTTACTATTACACCAATGGTCTAATATAAAATCGTATCCAATACGAATTTTCAGTTTGTTCATATGCTTGTGTATTTTTTGTTGAATAACAGAGCTATTGAAAGCTGGTGGCTTATTAGCAGAAATTTGGAATAAATATACATTTTAAAATAAATGATGGAGTGAATATGAAAAGTAGAACGAAACTTAATGGTAAAAAAATATAACATTTAATGCATAAATTACTGAAATTAGGCATTTAAGTAGTATCGTGAGACAATACTACCCTAATATGAAAAAATCACGCAGTCAGTGGCTTTTTCTAATAGCCTCGGATATTTTTATATGAATGTGTATGTGTTTATCATCTACTTTTTAGCTTGTTTTTCTAAATAACCATAGATAATGAGTTACGCCTAATCTAATTGAGTAGGCACGTTCACCTTCGTTTCGCACCTCTCATTGTCTGTCTGTATAAGAGTATGTCTGTAATAAATTGATCCAACTCAACGCGTATTTATCTTTTAATAGCCTCCATCCCCAAATGGGGTTAGCCTGAGTACATGAAATCATATGAAAAACTTATGTTCATGGTTTATTCATCGTTCGTGCATTATAGAGTCTGGTTATATGCTTAGAATTCTAGCGATTATCTTTAAACTAAATATTTGCAAAAAAGCATATACGTTCTATTCGAGGTGAGTTATTGAGATTGATTACTCTTACTGTACAGTAAACCTTTGATTCACCTTCAGTAATATAATACATCAAAGTAAAATAAATCAGTGGAACAAAAATATTTGATGGATATGTAACTAGACAACATAGAAGAAACTAGCTGAAATCTCTCAATATAACCGATTTTACCAAAATACTAATAATAGAGGGTAAAAAAGACGAGCTTTATTCTGTATACAAAATGTACGTTTCTTTTTATGATGTTCAGTGTCATATCTTGTAGCTTCTACCTCTTACCATAACTTTCTGTTCCGTTTAGGACATCTATGTCAACTACATTGACTTAAGTTTATCAAAGTTTGCTTCAAATCATTCTATTCCTTTTGGACTTGTGTTGTTTTCAGCTGATGAAAAGCCCTGAGATACAGTGAGCTCATTTTACTATGTAAGTCTTTATGACTTTATCTTTTAAGAATGCTCTGATGGAAATTGCCAATCACATAGATAGTTTCATAAAGCCCACATGAATAATGCCTGTTTGAATTATTTCAAAATTATCAACTAGAAAGCTGATTCATAACCTTGAAGTTTGATGGAAACGCATCAACACAAATAAAAAATGACGGACTATTCGGTTATTTGAATGGAAACATCTTTTGACTTATTTTCATTAAATAACTTGTGTTTTAAAAATGTTCAAAATCCAAGGTTACTCAATCAGCTGTTTATCTATCAATCACTTGTTGTTATGAGTCAAGACAAATTTCTCTTTGTTATATCCTAGCGAAGATTAAATTATGAGTAACGTCTGAGACCTATTAATGGAGTAATATTATTCATATATTCTTATGGTATAACTATTCAGTAACTAGATTATGTATATCTATATTCCTCTTATCATAAGCTTCATTTTGACCTATGGATTATTATTGTACGATTTACTGTTCTTAAATTATACGCAGTTTATTAATCACTGTCTTCCACGTCCACAGACACCTTTGTACGAGTGTTATTTCCTATTTTATGGTGCACTGCGGTCTGTTTGGTTGATATATTAACCAGTATATCTGAAATAGATGATTCGCATAGTGGAAGCTGTATTGGCATTCTGGACTTAACTGGACAGGTTAAACGAGCAAGAGACCACTAGGACGCTAGGCTGATCAGACCGGTCGAATGTCATTGGTTTAGTACTGTACGAAAGTGAATAAGTAGTATTTTGATTGGCGAATAAATTACTTGATAACTAACAGGATGTAAAGTCACAACACTTTTTCTCACTATTCATTTTCCTAAACTTATCTCTGGACGCATATCAGTTACATTAATGAAATATACTAGAAAACATCACATAGATTCATTCCAGACTAGGCGATTGTTTCTAGATATTCAACTAATATAGTTTATATATGTAATATTAGTTAAATGAGCCCAAGAATGATCAGATATTGTACGTTTTGTTTTTATTTTATACTTCCAGTTCATTCAATCAAATTTATAACTTAATAGTATATTTATATTGTTACTTATTGAACCTACCATTTAGATCATATGACTATTATAGTATACTGAAATTTCAGCTCATGACCCTTTTCTTTAATCACGTGTCCATAACCATTTCAAAAACGTTTTTGTATTACAAATTAAGTTTCAGTAAATATACATGTATATATTTGGCAGAGTGAAAGATGAACACTGTTGGGGAGTTTCATAATAACATAGAAATGCCATTCGTTAGTAGATTTTACTTGGTGGTCTAGTTTCAATTGACTCATGATCTCAACTATTGAAATTAATACAATCTCCACAAAATCCCTTCTGATATTAATCAATATATACTCACTAGTGACTGGCTTCAAGATGTATATCCTGGAGTTCTAGTGAGAAGCAGTGACCAGTGGATTTCGACCTGATCTGTTTTGAGATAGTAACTCAGTGATGACAGTGGTGGATGTGTCGCTCAATTTCATGGATTACTTGAAGTCAGACACTAACACCGTTGGATGCCGGTTGTCTCAGCGGTTTAGTGGTTAAGCACTCGGGCGCAAGACTTATAGGTCCTGGGTCCTAATTCCGCGAGGCGGGGTCGTGGATGCTAACTGCTGAGGAGTCTCACAATACGACGAAATGGCCGTCCACTGCTTCCAGGTTTCCCATGATGGTCTAGCTTCATTTGGCTTATGATCTCAACTATCGAAATAAATAATAAAACCAATATGCATTATATTGATAGAACATTCAAAAGATGGAGTCGATGTGATGTATTTGTAATATACATTTAGAAAACTCTGGTCACACACATACTTATCAAGGCATTTATATGAAAATAATAATGGCTTGAAAGCGAATAGTGTCCAATGCTCCTATTAGCGCGTAAAGTACAGAACCATGTCCATCGATGGCGAAGCTCACAACTGAAATGAGTCATAGAATCGATATCAAAACAGCTTTTGAAAAGTTGTATAGAAATTGTACGGACCAAATTCCTAGGTCTATGGAAGCATTATGTATTTGCAAATTCAAACCGTCCTTATGTGTACAAAAACAATTTGTTATAATCGAATCTATAAGTCATTCTATGGTCTAGGGTAATCCGAAGATTTATTATTCGTTCCACATTATGTTAGTTTTCTTTCTCTTTTATTTGCAATTATCTTTTTGTTTATTTGAACTTTCATATAAAATGCCTTGATAAGTATACGTGTGATCAAATTGTTCGAAATATATAACGCAGATACATCCAGTTTTTAGATTAACTCTGTTTTCCTATTGTTCTATTAAAATTTATGAACGGGATTCATTGCATTAAATATAAATTACGTCAGAACTCTTACACAATGTTTCATTTTTGGTGGTTGTATCATAATAATATAATTTCCATCAACACCAGCATTTAATAAACCTGTGATACATGTATATGCATCAATTGTATAACCATAAATAATAAATAATTTGTTAACTATCCTTTCATTATCCAACACATTTAGGTCGTTAAATGTGTCGTATAATAATTGATTTGATTGAGATTTCAATTGCTCTTCAGTCTCACTATGTTCACATTGTTTTTGCTTTTTCATTGAATTTTGTTGGCTTATTCGTTTTTCTTCACTTATTTGATCATTTTCATTGCTCAATTGTTTGTCAGCATTGGAACTTTCAATTTCAAATGAAGGTGTTCTATTTTCTGAAGTAATAAACTGTACTTCATGAAATAATGGTAAATAAATATTATTGATCCGGTCTATTATTGGTAAGACATCATGTACATCATTGATTACGAACAAGTTACTTGGTCGGGATGTTTTTGATTGCAAAACTAGATTATAAATAAGTAAATAACCAACAGTATACGATTGTGGAGACTTTTGAATTTACTTATTGAAACCATCGACTTATCTTTGTTAGGAAACAGCTGAAAACTCAAAAGCAGTGGACGACCGTTTTGTCCTAGTATGAGACTCTTCAGTAGTGCTCATTCACGACTCGGCAACTGTGCGTCAAACCGAGGGTCTTTAGTATCAAGCACAAACACTTAATCTCTCAACTGTTGAATCGGGATCAAATGGTGTACACTTTTAACTCCAATCAATCCATGAGATTCTCCCCTACTACCTTCGCTGGGAAACTTCCTCAAACTCAATAGGGTTTAGCTACACTGATCATAGGTTCTCATTAGAGGCCTGGAAACTTCCTCTCAAAGTTAGTCACTTGAGCATATGACAGCTATCTGTATGAGGTTGGGGGAGATCGAAGGTACTGGGTTCTGTTCCTGATTTCAGAGTTGGGGATGCTCACTGCTGTGAGTTCTCATTTCGGGACGAAACAGGCGTCCAGTACTTTTATGTTTTCAGTGATTATCTAACTTAAATTGTTTCATGATTTCAATGAAATAAATGGTCGTAAATATGTAGAAGGCATACGTTAAGTAATATGAATGTCAGAATATCTGATCAACCTTTGACCCAACTTAATAGTTTGTTGAAGATTACGTGCATATATATATATATATATATATATAGTGGCACAAGTTATTTTCCCTGGAATTTAAATAAACATATAGCGTCTATCATGTGATTGATCTTATTTGCTAATATTTAGCTTACATTAGTTGTTATATGTACCAGTTTATTCTAAGAGTACGAAAAAATTGGAAATCAGAAAGGTTCCTTTATCAATCACAGATGTATTCAACAAAATAAGCACATAATTAAAATAACATACAACGTACAACTCTACTGAAGTACCCTACGTCAAGAAGATCAAGATAAGAACGGTTAAAATATACCCAAATCAAGACCATAACAGAATCACTTATAAATCGTCGTGATGTTGCAATAACCTTATATGGTATACTTACATATATATTCAATAATTATTTTAACTTATATAGGGTACTAGTTTTTCTGATGGGTTTTGTTGATGAATGTTGTTCATTATAGATTATTAATTGAAGTTGGAAAGGTATACAACGGAACGCCAACCCACAAGTCCAATTGTTAATTTCTCGTATCAATAACTACTTATGATTAACAGAGTTTTCAATGAAAACTAGTGAACGTTTTCTATGGTGGTCTAGCTTAAATTGACTCATGAATTTAACTATTAAAGAAGGTTTGTTGGTTACTAAACCACAAAAAAAATAACAGACTGAACTCTGAAAAGTGACAAATCTTTCTGTAGTTCAGTCATCTACTAACTTAAAAACAATCACGTTATTCTTCAAAGAGATGATATTGAGTAAATTATTATTAGAAGGGGTTTTGTGGAGATTTTAGAAATTTCACTGATTGAACTCATGAGTCAGTTGAAGCTAGACCACCGTGGAAAACCTGGAAGCACTGGTTGGTTAAGCGCCTGGAGCGAGACTGATAGGTCCTGGGTTCGAGTCTCGCGGGGTGTGGGATAGTGGGTGTGCACTGCTAAGGAGTCCCATACTAGGACGAAACGGCTGTCCAGTGCTTCCAGGTTTTCCGTGGTGGTCTAGCTTCAATCGACTCATGATTTCAATCAGTGATATTAGTTAAAGTAAGGAAAAATTTTTTGGTTGATAATAATGATTCTGATTGACTGTTTCGTTATTCTTTCTCTCTTCTTCTTCTTCTTCTTCTTCTTCTTCTTCTTCTTCTTCTTCTTCTACTTCTTCCCTGGTTTAGTTCTAATATTTACGTAGAAACTGCCAAAATATTTTACAGCTCCAAAAAAATACTGTCAGTTGTAAATTATACTTTTATTATGAACAAACCTAATAATAACCAAAAGTAATAATAATACGTATTAAGATATAAATCTTACTTGCAAATCGATGCTTCATATTACAGATACCATTATTGGTATCATAACGATTGCCATTAATATTATCACAATTGTTGTTATCTTTATCATGTTTATAATCAAAATTCACTGATATGAAATGATTGACAGTTTCTTCTTTGGTAAGATTTTCTAGTTTAGACATTGGACAACATACATTATATTGTAATCCAGTTGTTATAATTAAATAATCATAGGATAATTTATGTTTAGAAGATATTGTTATCCTTTTAAATTTCCTAATTCATGAAATAGAATTATACAGTATAGCAAAATAAGAAGAAATCAAAATGTTTAATCAGTGAAATTTGTTTAATATATACCCAAATCGATTGTATTATTCACTTAGTCTGTTATAAATAACAGAACAGTTCAAATTGAAACATGTAACATCATGAGAACGGAAGGAATTCTCGGACTTATAGTGAGAAGCCGTGACCAGTGGACCTAATCGATGTCGGGTAGAGACAGGTATCTACCTCAGTACAATGGAAGATGGTCGCGCAATTTCGTGGATTGGTTGATGTTAGACACTATCACGATTAGATGCCGGCTCAGTGGTCCAGTAGGTTAAGCGTTCGCGCGCAAGACCGAAGGCCTTGGGTTCAAATCCCGCGAGCGGGATCGCGGATGCGCACCGCCGAGAAGTCCCACAATAGGATGAAACGGCCGTCCAAAGCTTCCAGGTTTCCAAAGGTGGTCTAACATCAATCGGTTCATGATCTCAATCAAAAACTTAATAATCTCCACAACCCCTATACTAGGAATATAATCAGTTTGAAATAAAGATAGTGAGAACAATAATAAGAATGGAAGTAATACATTAACTACATAAAAAATGGTTTATTATGGCTGTCTGGAGTTAGTAACTAAGTGGATAATGCGATGGTGTTTGAAGCGAACGATACTGAGTTCAGGTCACAGCGTGACTCGTCAGAGGGATCTTCTCATTGATTTCTCATAGTGAGCATCAACTCTAGGGTGCAGTTACATCCAGCTGAAGAGTCCTAAACATGAAGAAATGCGTATCTTTGATACGAAGAAACGATAATTGATTCAAAAAGTTTTCCGATAATAATAATGTATTTTGATTTTGCTTAATCAATATGTGGCACTAAATAAATCTACTTATAAATTTATTAACGTTTTATTACTGAATATGCTCTGAAAATTAACAAGATCATGCTAGCCTTTGAATCAGTCAGAATTAAAAGGAAATCGAACCTGGTAGATATTTGTATCAGTTCAAGTCTCATACATCATAACAATACAGACAGATGAAATTATTAGGAAGAATAGAAAAGTAGGTAGTAGTATCAATGATAGCAGACAAAAGAATGTGATTTGAGAAAACGGAATGAATTTGCAGAATTAACGATATAAAATAATTTTAAAACTCAGGATTCAAGGAAATACATAAAGTGAACGCATATGGGCAATAGTTATAGATTTTGAGCCAATTGAATTACTGTTCATGATACTTGAGTAGAATTCAACCAAACAGTAGGCATCTATCACTGTTACTCCTACCAACAGTCGACAACTTTGTCGACTAGTGCCAACTTCTAGTTTGACCAAACGTAGCTATATTTCAACATGTTACTGTTAATGTCACTCATAGAATTTAGGGGTTATTGAGGACATTTAACACTTCTCCTAATCTCTTCAGTTTATTAAAATTTATATCCTTTTCAAATAAATTACCACGTTTGTTTCTAATGAACAGTAACAGAAATCGTACTATTCTGAAGATATACAGTTTATTAACAAGTAGAATTATTTGTACTCATTTTTATAAAATGACACAGCGAACTGATAAGTTTATCTTAACAAAGAAGGTAATCAAACTCATAACTTCATAACAAAATATCACAAGAAATCTACTGAGCAACTGATTCCAGTAGGTGTAATAGGAAGATAAGACTATTATTACTATAACAAATATGATTTAAGCACGCAAGTATGACTTGTCAGATAGTGATTAGTCAATTGAGAATGAAAGTAGATGTTAAAGTTCAAGCAAAAATATTGCAGTTCTGGTCATCACATTGTCTTGCCTTTGAAATAATATGGCGTATTTAAAGACCAAAGTCACATTCTTAAAAGTCACTAAATAACTTCTTTCGATTCTGGTTATCCTGCCTATTTTGCATTTGTGATACTTGTGATTGTCGAAGAACCGATGTTTATCATACACGATTCACTTTTTCTTAATTCAATGTGAATATGTTTAATAAATTGAAACATAAAAACAAGATCGGTTTTAGTGACCTATTCTTGTAGTATTTGCCCAACTGAATTGATAACACGATCTGTTCTTAAAAGGTATCTTCATACTTGACGATGATGGTATTTTCGCTGTAGCAGTCACTGAAGCTTCAAGGTTCAAACTATCAGCTTGGTGTGATAACTAGAGATCCTGGTGTATGGACGAGTTACTATGACTAATGCTAACTCTTTTTATGATTGAAATAGTCAGAAGATAGAGTTATTTTAATCGTAAGACTGGTTTGATCAGTAAGTGCCAAGAAATTTACTAAACTTCAAATGAAAAATTATTTTATTCGTACAATTCTGTTCGAATCAAACCAATACAATTCGTTGGTTACTTGAAGTTATCTTTGGTACTTATTTGTTCTACCTGTGATCCATTGAATATGTTTCCCTTATTTATACTTGAAATATATCGTTTAGATAGTCGAACTATTACTTTGTAGACTTTTATATATTCGTAAGTTTCCACCTCTTTCGTTCAAATCTTTAAGTTGGTTTAGACTATTAAAATGGCTAAGATTTGTCATGAAGTTAACATTCTTGGGGAAATAACTGACTACATTAAAAGTTGGTTCGACTGTTTTGTGTAAAAATCCGACAAATAATATACAACCAAAATTCCATTGAAAAAGTCTGAACCACTTAATTCAATTAAGTATATACAGATATTTCCTACCTGTCGATAGCAGTAAGTTTACCGCATATAACATTAACACAAACTTTGAATCCAAGTTGACTTAAATAATCAACAGGATAAGCATAACTAAATTGTAGGGAAGAATAAAAAGAAAATAGAAATCGATCTATCTGAAATTTTGTTAAACATTAAGCGATTTCCAAGAAAATACTGAGGTTGGTTAGAAATTGAAACCAGTGAATATAAAATAGTTCAATAATATGTATGTACGTACAGTTTAGAGGTTCGTTCCTATAAGTAGTATATATATATATATATATATATATATATATATATATATATTCATTTGCTGTTGTTTACTTGTATCTTCCAATTGTTATTTAGGACTGCAATTGATCAGTCTCTTGTTGGCATATGTGCATCCTCTGAGGGCTGCTTCGATATTGCATTAGGTCACAAGCTTTATAAGCAAAAATGGATAGTGGCTAGCAGTGGAATCCAGGACGCGCGTTTCGTCCTATTTAGTATTTGAAGCGAACGGTACTGAGTTCAAGTTTCAGAGTGAACATCAACTCTGACATGCAGGTACGTCCAGCTGATGAGTCCCAAATAGAACGAAACGCGCGTCCTGAATTCCGCTGCCGGCCAGTATGCATCTTTGAATATATATATGTTTATAATACTCTAAAGAGTAGAAACAACATAATGTGATGTTTCGCAGTTTAGTTATAGTCGCTTCTTCAGGGTAAATATATTGTGTTTATGTATTACGATAAGGTAATCTGTTATTTTAAGATTTTTAACTCAAAAGTAATGATCTAACAAATGTCTGGTTCTTCGAATGTAGTAGGACATATATGTATATTCTCAAATGCATATAAAACCAAGTTAATTTAATGGTGTATACACTTTAAAAATGAAAATGTAACCTGACTGAAAGTTATTATTAATAAGTACTGTATGTTTTCTATCAACACCTGAGTAGATGTAGAATGCTAAAAGTTCCGAGTGATATTTGCTTAGCCTTTTTCCCGAGGGGTTAGCTAATTTTACAAATTATTGTCTAGAAGAATCGTTTACATATACAGACTTTTTAGCAATCAGGAAATCATTATCCAGTGGGATTTATACACTTAAAAAATTGGTATGCGTAAATAACAGATTTGATGATTTTCATTATCCTTGTTGAATATTCAGATATGTAAACGACATTAAAGTAAGCAGAAGGTTTAAGTTATCGTGTCCCAGTATTATTCCAGCTGTATCTTGTAGCAAAAATAAAGTATTCGTAGATCTAATTGACAAATATGAAATTACTCAGGATGAATATTTACCTAAAAAATTATACTACTGATTATATTCTAAATAACATAAATTTATTAATTAAAAAATGTCAACTATAGTTTTAGAATCTCTGATAAGAAACAACTTTGTGAATAAAAGATTCATTAATTACGCTTACTCTGTTGATAGAAATTTGTAGGCGAGAGGATTTATTCTTTCTAAGGTATCTCCAGGCAAACCATTTGGAGACAATAATACAAGATTAGTAAATCGAATATATGGACTGAAATTAAAAATCGAAATTAGAATTTTTAATGAGAATATTTTGTTACAGAAAAAAATACACAGGAAATCAAAGCATATGATCACCAAAAAAAACTTAATTAACAGAATCATCGTCAGATATTTACCCAAAATTCCTCTGGGATCATTTGTTCAAGTCAGTTTAAGAAGACGTTTCACTGTTAGTAAACCGTTTTGAGAACGGATACATTCACCTTGCTAAAAAATAATCTTGGAAACGTTATTTTCAGAATTACTACAACCTGAGATCGTTCAATTTAGTTACAGATCTGCAAGTGCCTTTTACGTCAATAAAAGCTATATAACTGAGAATAAATAGAAAGCTATAATTATTAACGGAATAAAAGCATACACAGCTCTTTCATATGATATATCTATCTTTCAGATATGTAAGCCAAAACATGAGCAAAGTACACTATTAACTTCATTCAATTGCCTGCTGTTTTCATCAATCCTACATCGGGAATTCGGTTTTGAAAAAAGGTATGTGAATTTGGAAGCCGAATACGTTTAGATTTACTTAGCTTGTCAAGTATAACTCCAAAACCACAAACAAGTGTAGTCCCAACTTTTTAAAAACATTTTTGTCATAAATGCTTGAAAAAGATATGCTCATCTCAGTCCTCACGTATCAAGGCAGTTTTTCGTTATATGAAATAAAACATATTTCTGCTATTTATGGACAAGTGATAACGACTACTGTAAAATGCTGATTTGCGTAGTGTAAGTAAGTAAGCAAGTAAGTAAGTACGTAAAGTAAGTAAGTAAGTAGGTAAAGTAAGTAAGTAAGTAAGAAGGATCATTTCAGTTAGTATCAACTAAGTATAGTGATTACTGACATTTGTCACTCATGTAAATATCTATCATATGATCTGAAAAAAATTAGACAGTGTGCAATGAAATTGTATCTAGGGTTAGCTATAAAAGTTTAACCTCAGTTACCACTTTTTAGTCTCGATTTCTTATACGTTCAGTAGTAAATATTTTATTACCTTAATCACATTTAATATGCCTGTATTTAAATTATGTATGCAAGAGTTCTGATGTACGTATTTTTTAAAAATCTTGGAAAAGTATTATAATAATTAAATAATCAAAACCAACTAAAGTAATTTACCACGGGTTATGTGATTTCGGTCATAATTAAACAGGTTGTCATCTTCAATAATGTAATTCAGCGTAGACATTAAAAATATATATAATACGCACATGACGAAAATTCTTGTATGTATGGTACGTTAGTAGCCTAGTTTTGTTAAGCTACCATAAGTATCGAACAAGTTATCTATATGTTTAGCTTTCTGTGGCTACTTACTGATATGATTATATATTGTAATGATAAGAAGTAAGATACAAGAAAGTATAATTGATAGCTTGAGTTTACCTAGGGACTTCTTACACCTCCAATCAACATAAAAAGGGACAAGACAGAAATATTGCTAACAAAAAGTGACTGTAAAGAAAATAAAGGACATTAAACGTATTTAAATGAGGTCAGTTTTGAGGTGTGCTATAAACAACTTTTGATGCTTGGTTCTCACTTGCTTTTGAAAGTTTTGATTAGTAAATTTACATTACACCGTCTACTTTGACTACTCTTAAACCCTATTCATATTTTATTCTGACCGCGAGGTGTGACTTCGAAGTTAGTTGTTGGTCATACCACCGCCGTTTAACTCGAGTAGACTCTCAGTCATTCGACATGTATCATCTACGTTGGTGATCTACAACAGTTTCTATTTATAAAGCTGGGTGTGAAGCTAACCGCCCATATTTTACTTCGCTAATGCATCAGATATTTTAGGTTTGAATATTTGAGATGTCATATGTTTCGTAATTGCGCTTATTTTCTAAGAAGTTCGAAGAAAAGTTGAGCAGAAATAAGCCGGTTTTTAGATGACAACGAGATGGGATATGAATTGTCAGTTTATAGGGTTTATCTACATATATTATGCAGGATAAGTGCAGTTTTAAAGCCATGACCAAACATTATGTAGCTAATAATTTAAATCCTGGATAAAGCTAATATCGACGGCATCCAAAACTACATTATAATTGTCTTGTCAACAAAACTAAAAAGATTAAATCTTTCTTAGTGATAGATTTGTGAAGTAAAAAATGTCCATTCAACTGTTTTCAAAACTTACACTGATTTTGGTTTTTGACAATAAGCGATATAAAGAACACAATGTCCCTAGAATTTCTACCTTATTTTAAATATGCATATGCTATCTATTGTAATAACCTAAGAATTATCAGAATGGGGATTTGTGAAGATTTTATCAATTTTAACAGTTCAATTCATGAGTTGATCTACGCTAGACCACCATTGAAAACATGGAAGCATTGGACAACCGTTTCCTCCTAGTATGGGACTCCTCAACAGTGCGCATCTACGATCCCGCATACAGGACTCAAACCCAGGATCTTCGGTCTCACGCGTGAACGCTTAACCTCTAGACCGCTGAGCCCACATCCAACGGTATCAATCTTTAACTTCAATCGATCCATGATCTTACACAAATCTTCACCCATTGTCTGAGGTAGACAACTGTCTCCATCCGACACGAATCGGACTCCACTGGTCACGATTTCTCACTAGGACTTCAAGAAATGCATCTTGAAGCTAATTACTAGTTGGGACTGTTTATTAGACAGAGGACGAAATAGTGAGAAAGTATTTGTTACAAGTTTAAAGCGAAAAAAATTATGCCGACAAAAATAATAGTCGAAACATACTTACACCTGTTACTCCTCGTGGAGGAGCATAGGCCGCCCACAAACTAGCTCGCTAAAAAACGCTAACCAGAAAAAAATCGAAACATAACTGAGCATATATTCAATTTGAACAACACACACCCTGTTGTTAGATTCTCTTAACAATTTCATCTTTATTTTTTGATCATATTTGTAGTGACGTTTAACTGTCTCAACAACACTTCTAATTAGTATCAAAAGGAGATTTTGTGGATATTATAATAATTTCAATAGTTGAGATCATAATTCAATTGAAGTTAGATCTCCATGGAAAATCTGGAATCACCGGAGTTCCACAACAATAGAACGAAACGACCATCCAGTGATTCTAGGTCTTCCATAATGATCTCATTTAATAGATTATAAATATTTTTATAATAATGAATTTATACTTGGAAATTTTATTTCAATTTACCATGTGATTAATTTTTCAAGTATAGCTAATCCAGTAGTTGATGCACCAACAATAATAATTCTAGCATTGATCAATTCTTTTGGTTCCATTAATAATTTTTTTGTTGTCATAAATAATGATGGCATTGAATTAAATTTTTCTAATATTCTTTTCTCTGGTCCTTTTATATTATTTAATAAAGATTCTGGATAGATAATTTGTTTTCTTGGTTTCACAAGAGATAATTTTGATAGACAAGTTATCAGGGTACATCGATTAAATTTCTATTTGATTGAGGATTGAATTTTTTGACAAAAAAAGAATATAGAAGATTTAGGGATGGATATTGAGTAAATTCCTCAAAAAGGTTATCAAGTGTAATGATTCAATATTCAATATCCACCCCTAAATCTATTATATCTGACCTAATTCAGATTATTCTTAATATTACGTCATTTCTGATTTTTATTCCATTATTCTCTCTCTTTCTCAACCCATGTTGACCATATTTATTCTGATCATTTATCTCACAATTTCTTTTTGATGGAGTTTTATTCTCTGAGTTGGATGGCTTGGTCATTGAGCTTTCATTGTTCTTCTGAACGACATCATCAGCACACCATATCATAATTTCATTTCACTTATAAACTGATTCAAGTTAATACTTCATATTAGTCAGCCCAAACATGAACGATTTCATTTGATTTTATATGACAAACAACAATTCTTGATTCACATATTACAATTTCCAAATGATGTACTCTGTCTTAAATCTGGCCAATTTTATGGGTTATTAATTTGGATATGAGATAATTGTAGAACCTGATGAAAAATTCATTGAAAAGAATATACTTCATTCATATTAATTGTGTTTTAATATAATGGGAATTTTTCAGCGAAAAAAAGTATTGTGATGAAAGGTGTACTAGTTTTTGATAAGAACAATAAAAAGGCTTAAATCAATGTTACATAATCGGAAATACATCAATGATTCTAGATGTCTTATCAATGATGATGTATATCTTTCATGGATAGAATAAACCTTATATAGGCGTAATAAAACATTACCGTATATATATAATATGCAAATACAGTCTAAAATCTCATTGAAAAGGGCATATAAACTATTTGTTCCACAGAAGTTCTTTAGAACAGATAGTTGTTTTTATTAACTTTGAAAGCTTTATTGTTCTGGAAATCACAGTATAATTACAGAACAGATTCACTCATTTTATATGAAAGGACTTCAATTTCAAAAGTGATTGTGTATTATGAAACTAATTACACCAGTTTTGAATATATATATCTAGTACTTTGATTATGCTCTTCTGTATAGTTTTTCTGATACTGCCATGATTTCTCATAGATGTAAATGATAGATTATTTAGAAAGTAGAATGAAAATTTTATACTTTTGTGAATGAAAAAGTGTTATAGCTTGTGCTCTGTATCGTTATCAATGTATAACGTAATAATACCGCCAATTAGAGAACAGTGAATTATTAACCGGACTAATGACGTATACGAGCAGTCTAGAGTCCTTATCGGTCTTGCTTCCTACCTAGCCCTGCCTGTTAAGTTCAGAACACAAATCTCAGTCTCTGTGACATGAATGATTTATTTCAAACATAATGGGTTTATATAATTGATCGACAGGGCATAACTCAAGAATGGTAAATCGTATAATAATAATTCATAAGTCAAAATAAAGCTTATGACAAGAGGAACACGAATATGAATAGCTTAATTATTTATCAATTATACGATAAAAATATACGCATAGTATTGGTCTATCAATAGATCCAAAAAGTTACCATTCATTGTTCTCGTCGAGATATAACACAAAGATGGACAACTGGACAACTTTTTAACGATTGCTTTACAAAAAATATACTATTAAACACTATATTTACAATTTTCTTAAAAACTCGGCTGTTATGACATACAGTTAGAAACATCTCATTTGTTAATACTTTATTAATGACGTTGTGATGTGTGATTGGAATAAGTTGTATGTAAAACTGTTAGCTAAACATTTATCCAATACTAATGATAATGAAAATTAAAGACATTCGAATTAGTGATTGTTAGCAACTAAAATCTTATCAAGTATGAAAAATCCCTTCCATTCGATCAGAGCAAGACAGCATAAATTCCTCCATATCATATTATTCATTTGATGCCCTCAAATGCTCTGGTACGGCCGAGGGTGGGAAGAGTCAGCTGCTGTTGAAATGCTCTCAAATGGCCACGTGTATATAGCTACTGACCGGGAAGTCCGACTCACTGCTTTCCTGCGCCACGGGTGTTGTTTACGAAATTGGGAGGACGAAAAGCGAATGTCCGGCGCTTTAACCGAGTTGGTGGATACGGAGAATCCGCCTTAGGGAGTTCATAAACCCCAGTTCCAAACCAATGCTGCACATGGGCTCCAAAATCTTGAGGGAACAAATGGCGTATGAAGCTATTGTTGGTCACTGGATATCATGGGACTGCATCTCCTGGCGTTCCTTCATTGCCTTGTGGATCAGACCTTTAGATCGAAGGCTCCGGGTGTGACCGTCTGAGAAAACCACACGCTTCGGTTTGGGAACCTGGACTGTATCATAGCCCACACACAAATTAAGTGACCTGTGTGGCGCATATGTATCTGGTACCCCTTGTACCAGTATTTATGTGTTCAAACAAGTCAAATAAATAAAAATTATTCATTTGATAGATAGATGTACATCTTACTTGTACAAATCTGAAGCAATATTTAGTGCTTATAAACTACAATGACTTTTTATGTTATTCTGTAATAAAGAATTTCTTTAATCATTACGTAATCAATTCTACTGTTTCATGTATAAATACTGTGTTACTTCAATAGCTGTTTTCATTAGAACTAGGCAAAAGTGATTAGCATAAGTATCTGTTTTCAGGTTTCTAGACTCTATTTGTCTATGAATAATGTGAAATACAAACTAAAGATTTAAGGTTTAAAATCATTTTTTCAGTTGTGGAAAAACTGTAAAAGCTTTCGGTTATTGTCAAGATAATGGGTTTCTACGAATTATCACTTCAAAGTAATATTTTCAATACAAATTGATATTACTATAGACCATCTGTTAGCTATCCGATTCAGATTAAAGATTTTTTGACAGTGTTCAACTAAGATTAGATTTTGAACTTGTAAGTTTCGTGGTGATTATGGTATAACTAAACAACAAAGTAGATATTCAGTAGTTGTTATTCAATGATTATCCAATTAATATCAATCCACATTAAGAACTACCAATATGTTGGACGAAATATACGGGCTCGTTATCTTAATAATGACAAGTTGATCATAAAGTAATTGATTTTAGAAGACATTTCCATACTGCTAAATATTCTAAAAATTTGTGGATGATGAAGACTGAATAATTTATATTTCTCATCAGACTTACTGATTCCTCTGCATATGGTGGAAGTACACGATAATAAATACATGTTTTCTTAGACAGACGCATAATTTCTCGAAGAAATAACTCTGTTCTTGACTGAAAATTAGCTGCTAGTAAGAAATGATACAATGAAACATGCTCATTTCGAGCATGATGTGTAAAGTATATAAAATCTTCAATGTTATAATGAGCTCGAAGCCATTCAATATGCTGTAATTTTGTAAAATTAAAAATGGATAGGAATTTAACAAATATTCTTTTATGTAAATTCGAAATAAAGTTATGGGAGAAACAAACTGATATGAGTAACTTTCGATAATGTATAGCGAAATCTAAGTACTCGAATCATAGTCAGGAATGTAAAATACGTTCAACACATTACGTACATTAGGCATTAAACTTAATAAACGGATATACAAAAAATGTATTAGACACGTTTTTGTTAAGAATTAGTTTTTAGTTTTTTCCTCCAGTGATTCTGACACTAATTCAATATAATGGGTAGATCTATGGTTAACAATGTAATCCAAGAAACGCGTTTCGTTCCATTCCAGAACCATCAGCTGCATGTATCTGAATCCCAGTGTTAATCTTGTCAGTGGGATATGGACCCTGTACTCTCAGCTTCTAACGCTCAAAGCATTACTTACTGAACTACTAAGTTCACGTAGACGATCACTTCTGCCGCGGGAATTATGTTAATATCAGTTCATTGATAGCTACAAACTAATCTATTCAATGAAAACTTATGAAAACGGCTACATTGAGGCAATCTGTACAAGAAGCGTATTTACGAAAAAAGGTTAATCAGAATTCAGCCAAGATTATCAACAACGGGATAATTTAACTACTTCCTACTGGTAGCTAGCTATTTTAATGTTGAATTACTACTTTTACAACAGTGTGTTTATAAATAAAGAGGGCCATCTATGAGATTTTAGTCAAGGCACATCTACACTACATTACTAGGAAGTGGCTAACTTAAAAATCCACTATCTGAGTCATTTTTCCATATGGTAGAAATTTTGATGGAGTTTTGTTCTCTGAGATAAACAGTTTGTTCATAGAGCTTTCGTCGTTCTTCTGAACAACATCATCAGCACAAACTTTAGATAGAAAACTTCTATATGGTAGAAATTTTCTTACGCAAGATTTTGCTTTATTCAGCTACTTGGCCTTAACAATAACGTTGGGCAATTTATTTTATTGTTAAGCCAATAAGTATAGAGCATTTGATCAGTTTTTCATCGTAATTTCAGGTTGGTTCTAAAATGTACATTTTTTAATTATAGTTCTTTGTAGCCACAAGTCAGGTATCACCACATTTCACTATGGATTATTGAGACATAAAGTGCTGAGGTAAGTGATAGCAGTAAAATTTATTGTTAATTTGTACATTATCAGTACGACTCTATCCTCCTCATCAAATAAACATATCGAGTTATATCACATCTATGTTGATAGAAAAACATTCAGAAAATCAAAAAGTTAGGCATTATAGTATGTTGTAGTGTCAGTTATTATGGCAAGCCCATATACCTTATTCTAATTTCCGGACATCCTATTTTATTCATTTCACTTGAGCCATATTTTGACCTTGTCAATTATTCGCTTATTAGCCTTGACTGTTTTCACATGAGCGTATATGTGTGTACATTTCATGTCCCATGATTCATCATGTCTGTAGCTTATTTTGTCTGCCTATAAATACTGAGTAACGCTTAATTAAAATGGAGTTGGCTTCCCAGCCATCTTCCATACGTGTGATTTTTGCTTTGCTGTGCTTCATTCGCTCCATGTACGAAATATATGTATTCACAAGTCAACTCTCGTTATTCGACTTATTTAATTCCGTTATTGGATAACGCGATCTAAGTCGACGATGATAATCGAGAATAGGTGATAACAACCATTTATACAATCTAAATGGAGTCAGATTCACGGGCCACAAAAATGTCTTACGAACTAACTGTAAGACAAAATCTCTCTGTTTATTTATAGAGACTTCCTGTCGTTTAAATATTTCATCAAGTTATTTTTTATTTTACCACTTGAGCTAGACCACCATAGAAAATCTGGGATTACTGGACGGCCTTTTCATCCTAGTATGGGACTCCTCAGAAGTGCGCACCCACGATCCCGCCCCGCGAGATTCAAACCCAGGACCTATTGGTCTTGCAGGTGAACGCTTAAACTCTAGACAAATGAGCTGGCATCCAACGGTGTTAATGTTTAACTTCAACTTGTTTCATAGTTTTATGAAAATAAGAGTAATTAGATATACAGTAATTATTACAAATTGTGTTTTTTTTATGTTTAGCGAAAAATCTCAAAGATTGATTATTAAAATAATTTTTATAGAGATTATCTAAACACTCACATGTTCATCGCGTAAAATTGCTACACCAACTAATTTACCCAGTGCAATAGCAACATAACTAAAAATTATTGTCCCATCCTGAAGATAAGAAGGAGTAATACAGAAGAATCTTGAACAACTAGACTAAAACTATAACAAATGAATGATGATATCATTTTGTAGATTAACATATGTAATAGACAATGTACATTAATTTCATTTCAAATATTTAATAGGATCAAATTAAATATAAATGAAGTATCTTTTTAAGACTGCAGTTAACTTAAATTAATCAAATGAAACATCAGAAACTTTACTATATTCTATAGCACTATTTTTTTAAACCACAAATTTCCGCTCTAGTTCTTTCATGGTATCATATTTGCTGTAGTGCGTAAAGCTCCTGGATCCGTCTCATATGCTTTCTTGGATACTCGTTGTTTGTAAATTCGTAAATACATTAAGCCATGATTAGGAAGTAACCATTCTCATATCTATTGAGTCCACAGTATTGATCGAATTCTATTAATCTAGTTTCAGTGTACTCACTAGACTTGACAACACTAGTACTACGTTTAATGTTAGTTGGTTGGAGGTAGTCAATAAGAAACCCTTTTCGATCTAGATTTAGTGCTAATTTGTACTCGTTAGTAGAGAATACTGGTAATCGTGAAGGAAATGATGCACTAAGTGAGTTTCCTACAGATTAAATTCAGTACGAAACAGCTGTATAAATCTTTGATAATGAAGATTATTATTAATTTGCAAAGTTGTAATAAGAATATTTGATTTTAGTCTGTTGTTAATCAGTCTGTATTCTAAATTCCAATTAGCTTACTTCATCTCGACCATTACTTATGAATGATTGTAAGTCGGAAAGAAACAAAGAACGGTCAAATGCATTCATATTTCTGATGAGTAATTTGATATCTTCTTCATCAGCATGGCGTGTACGTCTTACAGTAAAATCTCTACAATAGGAATAATTAACAATAATAGTTAAAAAAAGAAAATAATTCGTTCATAGGCACCTATTTATTTTCAGTAGTATATTACAAAACGTAACTAGTATGGAAATTTTGTAAAACTTTGTCTTATATAGAAATTCAAAGGTTTAAAGCTTAATTCTAAACTTTAAAGCAAGTTAATGTAAAAAAGCTTGTTATGTATTGCATTTAGATCACGAATCGCTCTAACTTAAACAACCACTAAAAATCTGGAAGCGCTGAGTGGACGTTTCATCCTAGTAAGAGACTCCTGAGGAATGCGCCTGCATGGCCCTTCATACGAGGATGGAACCCAGGACCTTCGGTCTCGCGTGATTGCTTAACCTCTGGATTACGAAACCGATATCCAACGATATCAACACTTAATTTCAATCACTTCACGATATTAACTTGTCTTATCTATAATTTTATATTCCACATAGCTGAATGATCTTAGCAACCAATGGAGGCCAGGAAATGCTGGATAATTGATTCGTCTTAATATTGGGATTAGTAGCAGTACGCATCTACGACATATTAGGGAATGTGATGTTATGTTATGTTATATAATTCAACAATAACCATAACTTTTATTTCTATAATTACTTGCACCAATTTATTCTACTAATAACAGCTAACATCACTAAATGTCACCTCCATCTTCCAATTATTTTATCCATCATTCATCATTATTTTCATAAATCCTTCTGGAATATAACGTTTTGTTATATAACACACTGTTAATTTATTAGCACTAATTTATTATTATTATTATAAAGCACAAACTATTACAGCGTCATGAAAAGATCTAGTTGAGAAGATATATTTTGCCTCCCTTTCAGTCCTTTTCTCATTGTCGAAATAGAGAGATTTCATCTGACTAGAAAGATTTTTTAATTAAACCTAAAAGAAACTTCTGGGATATAGAAGAAACTAGAAAAAGGGCTAATAATCGAACAAATTTGAATAAGATTATTTGGAAGATTCAATTTTGTAAATTATGATAAAAATGGATTGTGAAAGAAAAATAGAAGCAAGCATAACAATAACTGACTGAAGAAGAATTGAAACCTAGTTTACAGTTAGGCCTTGAATACTAATCTATACACTAGTGCTTTAAATTCTGTCAGAATATCGATGATTTAGAATGTTCTGTATAATCCACCCATCGGCACTATATATCTGATAATCAGTATTTTAAATCTATAAAAATTTATGTTCATGAGCCTATTTTAGAGCTCTATACTATTATATTCTTAAATTCACTTAGTATTGTTTACTTGAATCTTCCCATTGATGTTTGGGACTGCGAGTGATCAGTCTCTTATTGGCAATTCGCACAGGATGTATATATGCCAACAAGAGACTGATCAGTCATGGTCCTAAATAACAACGGGAAACTTCACCCCATTGCACAAGCAAGTGGCTGTCAGGACTCAGTAGCTAAATGGATAAAGCGATGACGTTTGAAGCGAACGGTACTGAGTTCGAGTCCCAGAGTGAACATCAACTCTGAGATGCAGGTACATCCAGCTGACGACTCCCAAACAGGACGAAACGCGCGTCCTGGATTCCACTGCTAGCCACTATCCATCTTTGCTTATAATGCTTGTAAATTAAGGCAATATCGAGGCATACGCACAGTATGCACATATGCCAATAAGAGACTGATCAATTTCAGTCCAAAAACATCAATGGGAAGATTCAAGTAAAACAATATCAAGTGAATTAAACTTCAACCCATTGCACAAGCAAGTGGCCATCAGGACTCAGTAGCTGACGACTCCCAAACAGGACGAAACGCGCGTCCTGGATTCCACTGCTAGCCACTGTCCATCTTGGCTTATTATATCTTTAGTTTCACTTACGTATTCCAACTATTAAAATGAATTTTATCATCAACAATCTTACCTATGAAGTTCACAGCGATGAAATACATATAATTCATGTTCAGGATCTTTATTTTGTCTTATTCTACAATGCTAAAATAAAAAGAGCCACAAAAATTACGTAAGATGTATGCTAAAATAAATCATGAACCCAACATTTGGTTGAAAAGATATTTGTTTAATTTGTTATCAAAAGTTATTTACGAAGAACAGAAAAAGTATTTTTGGTTGGACTATAATTCATGAATGGATCAATCAGATTTAAGACAATGACTCCTGGATTTCGGCGCGCATTTTAGTATCACTCAGAAGTTGTTCATAAATTATAATCTTACCAAATTTATTTAACTCTCATGTGAATATCTAGTTTGAAAATACATATCGCTTTTACATTTCACTTACTTTTAATTATAAACATTATTTTACTTAGTAGTACGATTACTATTCAAAACATCACTGTTTTTAACAGAGTTAATAGAAATTAACATTAGATGTAAAATATATTAGTTGGTTAAAATCATGAGTCGATCTAGGCTAGACCAATATTGATAGAGCAGATATTTGAAAGATCCGTCGCCGACACAAGGACTACTGCGATCAGCAGAACTAACCAGAGTCATCACATAATGTAGTGGAGACAGCCCGGTTGGTTCTATCCTAGTAAACGCACCCGACACTTAGCGGGTCAGGGATTCAAGGCATATATATAAGCACTAGAAGTACTACAGTTACCCATGTAGCATTTACGATCTAAGTAACTATCTCTGATTTAATAAGTCCTTCGCGGTTTTACCGTTTTAAGGTATGTACTTAGACATATATGGCTTAATCTCTGAGACAAGTATATGACTACTGACAGGATCAGTCAGTTTATTCACAGTTATATAATATGCCATTTTGAACCAGGGTAATTTTACATTGGTTTTCAGGAGAACAAGACACCATCCAAACTTTTACGTTACAACCCAAACACTACAGTTCAATCGCGTTTTATAGGAGAACCAGATACCATCTGTGCTTTAACAATCCGAACAGTTCAGCTCAAACCCACGGTGCAACCACAAAGGTGTTCATCACCATGGTGGACGATTTGCATCATTCATGTATGTATAAAAATGTTACTAAATGTACATCATTTACGATCAATGATCGCGCCAATCAACTATCCATAGTATGAGTAGGCCAGTTTTAAACTATACTGCTCATGTGAGAGTCAAACTCATTGATGTTGATAATAGTGATATGCATTACCACGTCCTAATGACAATAGCGCTTTGGAATACTGGAAAGCAACCTTCAGTATCAATGTTTTTAGAATCAATATACTCATATATATAGCATATATGAGTATATGCTATGTGCTATAACCCTAACCCTAACCGAGGCTCTTACCATCCATGATATTAGGCCAGAACAATGAGTACAGAAGAAGTAAGTCCTATCGTCATCATTCACCTTCTCCTTAGTTTATTATTTTTATTACATTTCTCTCTTTAATTTTCGTTTCATATTCTCATTATTCTATTCATAATTTTTCATGATATCACTTCATTTATTTCGCACATCTATTACCTTTAATTATCATAACAAAAACATTTCAATCTTGCTACATTCACGTTATAATTCGTCAGTAACTTATTGAGTCTATTGTTATGATTCGTATTGCGTAATCTAGTATTATAATCTTTCTATTACATCATCATGGTTGTCTCTTGTTCACATGTTCTCACGGAACTAGTACTTTAATATCAGAAGGGGTTTTTGTGGATATTATAGTAATTTCTATAGTTGAGATCATAGGTCAATTGAATCTAGACCACCAAGGAAAACCTGGAAACACTGAAAGACCGTTTCATCCTACTATGGGATTCCTCAGCAGTGCGCATCCACGATCCCGCCTCGCGACATTCGAACACAGGATCTAGTACTTTAAGAAAAAGATTTCATATATATATACGATTGAACAGCTTGATAATAAGTTCGTTGAAAAGAGATCCCTTCGCTGAACTTCGTGTTTTTAACATACAAACAATCTAGGAATTGCAATCACGGCAAACGTTTTTTTGATATTAAGTATTTAAAGGCAATAAGCGGTAAGACCTCAGCTTAAGTTTTGTTGTGAGTGACATTTACTGCCAAACCATCTCTACATTGCTGCAGAAAATTCTCCAGATAACTATTTGCTAACTTCTCTATCAAAGCAACAACTGAGATAAAAGGAATTCCGTTATTTAATAAATGCAATAATGTCTTACTCTTAACTACCAGGTAGCTCACTCACTCTCAACATCTATGATATATAATTGTGTTTTGATAAAACTATTTGACTATGAATATATTTATTTTAAAATTCAATTAGTTTTAAAGGTAAAATGTTCGTACATACTGGGAGAAATAGCAGTTAGAGAGAATTAAATTATGTAATAAAGTTTAACAAACTTAAGGAGTGAGAATATCTGACTTAATGAAAATATACAATCATAAATTCTGAATACCTTAAGAAATTCTATTTTTATTTAAGAACACTTACTACAAAACTTTTCAACATCGGGAAACATTTAACCAATCTCGGAACTGTAATTACAGCATACTCTAAATCAGAAAATTGACTAAACAACAATGGTAGCATATCCATAAATCTGAAAAATATTAGAGAAAATACAGTCGAAGTTACAGGAAGCTATTGTTTTCGGTTTTAAAATTTCCGAAAGTATTTACGTTTAAAAATAAATCAAATTTTATTTAAAACAATATTTAATAAATGCTGTTGTATTTATTAATATTATTCCTTACTTACTTACGTCTGTTATCGCTCGTCGTGTAGCATAGGCTGTTCATCAACACTTTCCATCTAACCCCGTCTTGGTCAATCCTTTTCAGTTGCTGTTAATCCTTTTCATGTCTGCTTCTGATTTCCGACGTAGTGTATTCTTCGGCCTTCTTCATTTCCGTTTCCCTTCAGGACTTCAAGTTAGCACTTGCCTCGTGATGCAGTTTGATGTTTTCCTCAATGTGTGTTGTATCCACTTCCAACGTTTTTTCTTAATTTCCTCCCTAGCTAGAAGCTGGTTTGTTCTCTTCTACAGTCGGCTTTTGCTGATGGTATCCAGTCAACAGACATTGAGTATCTTGCGTAGACGATTGTTTATAAATACTTACACCTTTTCGATGATGGTTGTAGTAGTTCTCCACGTTTCAGGTCCGTACATTAGAACTGTCTTGACGTTCATACTGAAGATTATGATTATGATATTGGTTGACAGTTGTTTCCACTTCCGTATGTTGTTCAACTGTAGGAATTCTATCCTTGCTTTGCCAATCCTCACATTTGTGTCTCAATCCGATTCTCCTCGTTCATCAACGGTGCTGTCCAGGTACGTGAAACTGTCCACCTCTTCCAGAGTTTCTCCACCAAGTGTGATTGGATTGGTGTTCTTCGTGTTGTATTTGAGGATCCTGCTTTTTCCCTTGTGTTTGTCGAGGCCTACTGATGCAGAGGCTACTGTTAAACAGGTTGTCATCATCTGGATTCGTTCGTGTGTACGGGATAGAAGGACCAGGTCATCTGCGAAGTCTAAATCTTCTAACTGATTCTGAGCTGTCCATTGTACTCCGTGCTTTCCTTCACATGTCGAGATCTTCATAATCCAGTCAACCATCAAAAGAAAGAGAAAGAGAGAAAGCATGCAGCATTGTCTGACTCCGGTCCTCACTCGGAATGAGTCTGTCAGCTGTCCTCCATGAACTGCTTTGCAGTGTGGTCCGTCATATGAATTTCGGATGACGTTGACGATCTTCTCAAGTAGTTCATAGTGTCGGACAAGGTTCCATAAGGTCCTACTATCCACACTGTTAAACGCCTTCTCAAAGTCACAGAGGTTGATGTATAGTGGTGATTTCGATTCAATTGGTTGTTCAACAATGATCCATAGCGGTCTGTGCACGACCAATCCTTATGGAATTCGGCCTGTTGATCTCAAAGTTGGGCGTCTACTGAATGTCCCACCTGATTCGGCAACACAATCTTTCCTGGTACCGATAGTAGTATGGCGCTTCATTAGTTCTTACATTTTCTCAGATCTCCTTTCTTTGTAACTTCATGAAATATTCTTCTCTGCAGTCAGTCGTCATTTGTTCTTCCTCCCAAATCTTCCTAAATAGGACGTGAAGCATGCTTTCAGTTGCTTCTCTGATTGACTTTAGAGCTTCAGCTGGTATATTGTCAAGTCCTGGTGCTTTGCCGCTCTTTATTTATCTGATGGCCATTCTGATTTCTTTCATCGTTGGTGAAGTGACGTCGATAAGAAGGTTCGTAAGCACTGCTGTAGTGAACAAGAACACAAGTGAGAGACAAACTTATAGAACGTCTTAGTAAAATCTGAGAACCATACAATATATATTTCATTCGCGAAATGTTGAGTGATTTTATCAGAGTTCATTGTTCTTGCATTTCCATACCAATTACTTTCTGTTCCCGTTCTTTCCTCCTTGATCTTCTCAACCTTCTGCTGCCAGATATTATATTCCTGACTAGCGTTATATACCGCTTATGTCGACATAAGTAGCACACCCCACACTACTTCTATGTCTGTTAGATTCAATGGAGATAGTCTATTCAAGAGTTCCTAGAAGTGTTCCTATGTATACAAAGTGTTTTTCTGATCTCAACTAACTCGGTGATTTGGATTTTTAACAGTAGATTTATCATTTTATCGGTCAAGCTACAAATTGATTTTATGAAACACATGGTCGAATATCCAACAAACCTGAAATATCCTCAGCAGTTCAATTAAACAGTTATGTTTGGAATTAGTTGAAAATTTGTTATTTAGTAATGAAAATTTAAATAGTATGAGTAAAGTTCAATAAAAATAACCCATGACAAAAAATGTACCCAATTTTACTAAATTTTCGGTCATCCTTAACCATGACAGAGATACATTTTCTGAAGTACATCTCATCTTCTCTTACATTGCCGATAAGTTAAATTTTTGTAGGAAGGTAAAGTGTCCATTTCAATAGGTTGATTGTCCTACAATACTTAAAGTTTAGTAAATTAAACTGGAACCGAATTATCTCTACTCATTTTTAATTGCCGATGTGGTTAAAAAGTGATATCACTTTATTTCTATCTTAGTTCATTACGCTATTTAAGTCAACGTTGGGTACATATGAGTACGTAATCACATATTGTCTTATATATAAGAATTATAATCAGTTATCTTGATAGGACAAAGTAGAAAAAAATCGTACCTGTCATGTAATCTCAGCAAAACATGAAGTAAATAACAATAGTAAAATATGACTATTTTCAAATCTCACCTCGATTCATATTCCGGTCTCATAGTAAAAAGTTGTATAGCAAATGCGTTTAATTTTGCATTATCCGTCAATTTAATCTTATTGCTATTTTGCGCATCATAATCTTTATGCAAAAGTCGTTTTGTCCAGTGATATACTTGACTATTGTCTTCATTATTTAATAGATAACTTGACTGATTAAGATCTGATGGATTGATTTGTTCTTTGATTTTTATATAACTTGATATGGTTAAAGTGTTTTCTGTTTTATCTGTAAATACATATATGTATACGTTTGTAAGAAAAATATCACTATATCATGAAAAGTTAAACATGTTTAGATATAATTGTTATATCCCAGTGAAGATTAAATTACGAGTAACGTCTGAGGCCTATTAATGGACAAATATTATTTGTATATTCTTATGGCATAGATACTCAATAACTAGGTTATATATATCTGTACTCTCCCTGTTATAAGCTTTATCTTGATCTATATATTATTATTGTACGATTTACTGTTCTTGAGCTATGTTCAGTTTATTGACTACTGCCTTCCACGTTCAAAGCCACTTTTTGGCTTTATTGTGTATGAATGTTATTTCCTATTTTATGCTGCGTTGCGGTCTGTGTGTGTGGTATATAAACCCAGTATATCTGTAATAAATTATTCGCATAGTGGAGGCTGTTATTGGCATTCTGGACTCAGCTGGACGGGCTGGGCGAGCAACGGACCGTTAAGACGCTAGGCTGATCAGACCGGTCGAACGTCATTGATTAGTACAGTATAAGAGCGAATAAGTGATATTTTGATTGGCAAATAGATTACATGATAACAAGCGGCTGAAAAAGTCACAACAGTAGTAAAACAGAAAATTAGATCAACCTATGTAACTGAGATTTACAGTTCAATAAATAAAACGATTAATAAAAAGCAGAAGTTATCAGAACAACCAAAACAACATATGTTAATTAAGAAAAATTAGCGATCCACACAATAATCTTAAAAATTTACCAAAAAACTGCAAAATGGGTTCAGATACACGTTAGAAACCAATTTAGAATTAGATCACCGTCCGTGCGCAGTCCAACCCAAAGAGGATATGAATCAGCACGTATAAATAAGACCAGTCAGTTAGTAGGTAAATAGTTAATTTAGTCGGCCGTATTCCGTAGATGCGTCATTAGTTGCCCTGTTCTATTGTTTATCATCCAGCTTGAAGTCAATCTTAATTTATGGGATTTAAAAGTCAGTAATTTAATAACGATTAACCGTCAAAATCAACGTTACCAGCGTTCTCAGTTGAAACGTCTAATGATGAGACCAAAATAGACTAAATGACCTATTTTTGTTCAAACAATAAAATTCAACAGATTGTAGAACAATGAGCAGAAACGTTTTACCTGAAAGGTTAATTTTTGTAGTTTTATTTGATATCACCAACTTTAATTCCATGAACGTGTCTTAACTGTGTTAAGGCGTTCGGAAATAAAACATTTTAAGATGATCACAGCCTAGCCCTTTAACCGAGTCTTTGTACTCAAAATCTTTATGAAGCCCTGGATACGTACCAGTTTTATTTACTGTTTATCAGATGTAAAGTCTGTTTTTCATGACATCAGTAGACCTAATCCTGTTGGATACGTTTCTTTGTGTACTAATTAAGGCTTTAATAGCAGAAATATTTAAAACTTTGACTTCATTTGCCTTAAACGAACTTCTAAAACAATATGGATATGCCATATATTTATCATCAAAAGGAGCAAACTTTCGTCTATTTTAACCTCATTTGCCCATCTATTCAACATGATAAATAATGAATAGATAGAAACTTCAGTAGTTGATTTATTTCTTTGTCAACAAATAACTGAAATTACTGGTACCCATATGAAGGATGGTACAGTACAAATTCCTAAATAATCTAGGAGGGGGAAAGACAACCGAGAGATATTTTGCGGAGCTATTTTTAGAGGGCATCACATTTCAAATAATCGTATCGCTTTGGAGGATTTTGACTACTAAATGTTCGTCATCGAATTACATTGTTCTTCTGCTAAAACCTTCTTAAGCTTTTATAAAGTTCGTACAGACTAACAAAGACTTGAAATACTTTTCCCGACTTTGTTTGTGTTCAGTAAGATATATCATGTTTTCACGGGTCCGTCTAGTTGTGACTACCAAAGTAACTTTTGGGTAGATTTGACAATCTATGATCTGTTAATCATTAAAAGTGCTGTTAGTTATTTTAGTTCATAAGACAAACTCAACATGAAGACATGTTCGAAGAGTCTGGGAGCTTTTCAATATCTATAAAAATTTATAACTTCGTTAAATGTATATGTGAACTTCTTATCCACGAAATGTAATTGGATGTTGTCTTAACATTACATTACCAGTGAGTCGCTTGATTGACCACAAGAGCAAAACACGAAATTTGAAAAGAGTAAACAGATAAGAAATTTCTCAAGAGGGATTATTAATTGAACGAAGTGAATGAACTGTCATCAAATATTCCAGAATAAAACAAAAGTAAGTTCGGCAATGTGAGTTGAATTACTGCAAGTTCACCTACAAACTATCCATCTTTTAAGCAGTTAGTCTTGAATGGACCATTACAGTAACAATGCTACTAGCCACTATAACTGATAGTGGCCGAAGTGGAAGAGTTTGTTTCTCGTCCCTCTGGGATCATGGCCAAAATACCAAATATTTTGGATATATCAAGAAGGAATGTAACTTTGTATAACTAGCACACGAAACTACCAAATAAGGCAAAAAAATATTTAAATATAGCCACCAACTTTGAAGTATTTTATAAAATTGGTTCACTAAAAAAGGATTCTACCTGTTACTTCCAAAGTACTTTCAGTTACTTTAATCGGAAATTCATTTTGTTCTTCTGCTTCCTTTTTTACTGATTTATCGAACTTGGCCAATCCATTGAACAAATCTAAGTCATAATGTGCGTTCAAGTCCCTGAGATTTAGATCTCTTGTTGCACTGACGAAACCTACTGCTCTGCGATCGTACTGTTATCGAGATTGAAAATATAACACCAACATACCTCCACAACGACACACTTGAGATTATCGTTTTGAGCTTCAACTATTTCTGAGACGTAGTAATCCCCGTATGTTTTTTGAAGAAGCTTAGACTGATCATTTATCAAAGGCGTAAGATCATCTGTATCCTCAACTCTGAAAGTAATGATAGGTTATAAAGTAACTTACGCTGCTGGACGACAGAAGAGGACTGGAAAAATTTCATGCCTATAAGCGCAGTAAACGTCGTTTCCTTCGGCAACCCTCTTTGATAATGTATGAAAAGGAAAAGAGTTCAAACACTCTTTGATAAAAACGTAGCAAGCAAATCACAACTTACTGATGCTACAAGCATCTCCCAACACAAAAAAGATATAATGGACAGAGCAAGCAACGGTAAACGCCATCTTTATCAGCTGAGTTATCGCAAATTTGTCGTGAACTGGACTAACCGCGAGAAGATGAATGAATAACGAATTTGTGGTTGTTATGTTATCGGTACAATATATATGTCTAAAATGTGTGTCCCAATCATTTTCTGGAAACTTCAAGCTATTTGGATATTCATAGAAGCATGCATGGCCAATCAGATTTTTATCACTGTCAGTAACACAAAGTGACAGAACTGATCTCTCACTATATAAAATGATTAAAACACTGACCATAAAATCATTGATTACATCAAGTTCACTAGACTAATTTTTCCAAACTCCGTTGAATTACAAATAATTCTTAAGTTTTCAATTTGTTTCACGTCTGTAAGGCTACTTCTCCTTATTTCAAAAAGACCTTCAGCACTTTCCATGGTTAAATGTGTACGATGGTGTTTCCAAAGCAACCAAAACCTTCCAAACAGAAAACTATACAAGATCCAATCTCTTTGTCATGAGCATGTATATGTTGACTGATTTATTTGCGTTCTTTTCTTCTTGTTTAGGTTTAGTTCTACGTATTTGTTTATGTCCAAAAAGTGCTAGTCTCGCCACTCAATTGCACTAATTTCCGTCAGTGTTCTAGTTATTTATGGATTTGTACATCTCGTAGTTGAGTAAATGCGTTTATCTCACAACAGTAGGATTTCTGGATACCAGCATCCTCTGCATTGCCGGATAGGAAGTTAAATGATTGCAATGTGAAGGTAATAAGGTGAGCTGGTGTATAGGCTCTCTGGGGTTACAAAATATAGAACGCACTCTGAAGAGACAATCGAAAATGGATTTCCGTGAGTTATGTGGGCACACTGTGTCAAGTGAGGCAAAATATTCATGGCATGACGTCTAACGGGCTAACGGCTAACCCATTATCAGTTGGCCTTTCATGTATTGCTGTAAGGTTCTAATGAAACGCAAGTGAATCCGTCTCACTTTTTATGGACCTTCAAATCTTTGTGTCGTCTGCATAGATCGGTACAATTGAGTTCATTTTATTCAGTAGATAGTCAATAAAGTCAGGAAAGGGAGTGGATCTAAGACTGTTTCCAAAAAACTTCTGGCACTGAAACCTTCCAACTTCCGCGTAGTTTATTTACCTTGGTACGATACATCCTGTTCTTTAGGTAGCTTCAAAGGTAGGGTGAGGATATGTCATTGAGACTCATCTTTTAAAACTTTTTCCTATAAGAACTACAGGAGTTACTGTGTCAAAGGCTTTAAAGAAATGAAGGAATATTACTTAAATCTGTATCTTATGGTTCTACGTGTTAGTTCAGCTTTCCCATGATATGAGATTATATGCACATGACGTATCATTCTTTTAACTCTTGTTGAGCTTCTTCTTATTTGCCCATTGATCAATCCTTCATTTATCTTCGACAGTATTGGGAGTAGTCAGACTGATTTTTAAAGTGATAGTCTATTTCTACATCCCCGTTTGAAGATTGGGAGGCGTGTGACCTACTTCCTTTCTCTTGGAATTTGATACGAATCTGGTGGGTGCATGAACAGGCCACACAACGGTGTGCTGATAACTTATGGGAACTGGTTCAGGATTATAGATTGGAATTTGGCACATCCCGCGAGAACGTGAACTTAGGTTATAAAACCTAAATCTTACGATAGTAGAAGTAGACCTGGACATAAAGTTTCAAACACTAAAGGCAAAATTATATGAAATATAGTGACTACAAAAATTAAGGAGGTAGGTGATTACTTATATCCTGACAACTCTTAACCAGTCACCCTAAGTTACTTCAGACTTACGTTGGTGAACCTACGTTAAGTTCCTCGAAAAAGACGGTTGCGGACAATTCATTTTGTACAGCGGCGTAGAAAACTGCATTTAACTATAATTTCTTCAAAAGGTACAAACACAGTCACAACAATACACGCGAAGGATCGATGATAAGCAATAACGCAATGAAAGTTGTGCAGTTGTCTCTCGGAAAAGAGTAAGGGGGTCTTGAAAACCAGAAATTCGAGAATATCATTGGTTGATAGTTATTTAAAACAAAAATTTTAGGAACTGGAGTAACCAAAGATCTATCGATCAGGCAATAAATTTATTCGACTGAACCAGATGAATCAACTAAAGAACGGTCACCCAATGTGGTAGGCGTAAGACCCAAAAATATCAAATTTGACCAAGATGATTAGCGAATTTATTTTGAACTGCTCCATTCTGGCAAGAATCTCGTCATCAGTCCACATCGATGACATTGCAGTCGGGGGTCGGGCGAGATTCTAATTTATGGACGACCCTTGAACGAATCTTAAGTGACTTTGAGAAATATTAGTCAGTCAGCAAACAGTCAGTGTAGAGTAAAAATATATTATACAAAACCAAGGAAATAAGGTGGATGCACACCTTATACGTAGGATCTTTGGCCTACATGCTGATGGTTATCATGATCACACTAGTAACTAGCTTTGGGTGAAAATTTCCAGAGTTCCAGTGATGAGCCGTAATCAGTGAAGTTAAACCATGTTGTGCTTGAGGAAGGCACATACAGAAGGTAATGAAAGATGATTGCAAAATACCGTGTTTTGATTAAAGTTAAATATGTACACCACTAAATCCGATAGGAGATGGAAATTATTTCATTATGATACATCTGTAGTGGTATTGGATCATAACCACACAATCTTCAAAGCTGAATGCGAGACTACTCGGAAAATAGATATTCAATATTGAGTTGAATGAATTAGGGTTGATCGTATGGTATGCCTCGAAATAAGTTTGTTCCCTATCATGTATTGTTACGATGTAGTGAGTTGGTGTAGACAATGATGTGACTTCCACGTAAGATCTTATAAATTAGGCAGTTATATCATGACAAATCTACAATTATAGGATTAGGTCTATTGTTAGAGCAGTACTAATATCATAGTAGACCATAATTCTACACATCCACCGAAATTGAGACATTATAATGGATTTCGGCAAACTAAATATTTATCGCACAATTTGCTAGCAAGTGAAATTCACCATTGACTTGCGTTTTCGTTCCTTTACGAAATAGCTAAGCACTGTGCGCCTCAACCGTACTACCTAAAACGAACTTAAAACCTCCGGTCTTGTGAGTGTAAACCTTAATCTCTAAAGTTCTGGGCCATAATTCAAAAGTGTATAATCCTAACTTGAATCAGTTTACTATGCGTTAAGTAAACTAAAATGAAAAGATGATCAAATTGTCGTCTAACAGCATTCAAAAAATGATCACACTTCAAAACTTTTAAACATTAGAATGACAGTAACAAATAATCAAAAAAGAAACGAAATATACGTAGATGCCTACCACAATCGATGAGGCGATACCTATAAAAAGGCGAGTGAATGACTGTAGGTAAAACATATATGAAAGGATCTTACTACGTTTTGTCCCGAAAATTTGACATTTAGATTCAATAATTACAAGTTAAAATGCTCCTCAGTCATCGCCAACCCATAATCTGATTGCGACACACTTCGTAGTTTTGTCTCATTATCTTGCGAATCGCCTTTTCAGAAGCATAAAAAGAGCCGTCAACCAATGATATATTTCTATTTATGAGAATGTCGTAGTAACTCGGGCTTATTTATAAATATTCATGGATGTGTGTAATCGAAAATTCATTCTTTCAGATGGACATTTGTTGCAATAGAGTACACCACGAAGTCTTTATCTTTGCGAGAGATGGTTTTCTTCCATATGTGCTCAGATAAACCTACTTACAAATGGCATCCAGCACTTGTTTGTTGCTGTTGTTGTCGACATAGATAATCCACCAATAATTGGAAAAGTACCTACTGTGAAGAATGTTCTGATCCACAAAAAGTTGCTGATAACAGGAATATTTGCCAATCTTGAGTCAGTACATACCGAGATAAATTGCTAATCATCCTCATCCAGCTGGTGTACACGAGCCGAAAGAAACGAGTAAAGATGTTCTTCTGCCTCCTGGCTGCTATATTAGCGTAGTAAATGCTTAAAAAAACGTTTATAAACATTTGATAAGTACATGCTACTGACTGTATTGTCTATTACATAAACTATGGCGAAGGTGGAGTGTGAGTCCTCCATTTCGAACACACGAAAGTTTCCTCATTCAGTATGGAAAAATAGGAACTGTAATGCTCACAAAAATAGCGAAAAGAGCAGTCGTTTTACCTACGATCATTTATCCTTATGAGAGGTTATGAACTAGCTTTCAACCATCTAGAGTTGACTTTCGAATCAACGTATCCCAAAATCAGTGGCCAGGAAAACGTTGATTTGATCAATTTGTTAGACTGAAATATACTAGTGCAGCAACTGTGGGAAACTGGTACCACCCAGAGTAGTGTTGTAACTCACCCTGTATTTGACCCAAGTATATCTGTTACAAACAACGTGTGACTCCACCCTATATATAGAATTAATCTGTGGCTACACATAAAGTGTGTTATTTCCTCTCTTCCTACCACAAATTACAGCATGTGACTTGTTGGGCACGTATTATAAATGGGGATCAGGACTGATGAAAAGGATGGAAAAGAACACAATCAAACAACAGTATTATGTCGGTGAGGCACTAAATATCTATGCTCTGTTCATCCATCAGAAGTTTGATGCTTTCCCACTTAGGCCGTTTTGATGTTATAATCAAGTATAGTGATTATAGATCAGATGAGAATAAAAATGGAAAAATCAATTATGCCTGAAGTTTTAACACTACTTTCATGAAACAGTTAAGTGCTGAAAGGACACATAGTAATATGCGCTAAATGTCCTGTCGAAAGCCAAAATATCACACTTTTTCCACGGTTGATCTTTGCGGCTTACCAGATCCGTGAGGAAATGGCAGGATGTGTCATTTACTGGATCCTTGTAAGCCAATGCTGTGTTTTCTTTTTTGGTGTTGTTATTGTCTGAATCAACTTGAACCGACCTCTTCTTACAATATTTGTATTGTTAGTTGCATTCCATATGGGCTGGACTAAATTCTTATCGTATTGCACAGTGGGAGAATGTAGCGAGTCGATAGTGTTGTGGATTTTTATTTTCTGAATATCAAAGAATAAGTTTTCCGTCCCAAACTATGACTTTCCAAGTCTCGTCCCATGTTGTGATCTTTTTCGGTTACAGCAATAAACTGAACTGCTTCACGTCTGAAACTTTCCCTGTTCATTGTGCCTTGCCATCTAATCAACATCATTTGTTGTGCCAGTATGTCTTGAGTACAAACTGAATACCTGGATTAGCAGGCTTGTGAAACATATTTAGGAAATTGCATCAATGCTGTTTCGGTACGTTTGGACTATTCCTACCTGTAGGCGTGTCACATATCAAAGTTTCTTTACCTGTTTGCGTGCGTCTGATTCGTAGTTTCAGTGTTGTTGCGGATAACT